TCCTGCGTCAGCGGAGAGTGCAAGGTGGGCAACCCCCCCCCGGGGGAGGAGGACAGGGGCCGAGGGGGTCAGGGAATGGGGGCAGCCTCGCTCACCCCCACCCCACGGCCTCTCCACGCAGCACGTGGGCTCGCGACGGGTCCTGGGCTCCGACTGCGGGAGGACAAATGCCGCGTGTGCGGAGGCGACGGCAGTGCCTGCAAAACCACTCGAGGGAGTTTTCGGTCCGGCGTCTCCTGGGGCCGGTGAGAGCCCCGAGCGTCCCTCCACCGCTCCCCGCCCGGGCCAGGGACTCGGGGCAGGGCCGACCCCATCGCGTTAGCAAAGAGCAGTAACTCCTCCAAGCCCCGGGTCCCTGCGGGGTGTCGGGGACCCCAAGAAGTCCTGCAGGCACAAACATGAACGCCCCAGATCTGGGTCAGGAAGAGCCCTGGCAACTGGCCTGGGCTCTGGTGCCTAAACCTCGGCAGTTGGAGTGTCACCGGTCAAAGGGAGACGCTGGCACATCTGTGTCACAGGGCTGGGAAGGGACGCAGTGGGATGTCCCTCTCATGCACCTAGTGCAGTAATGGTTAGCTGCTATTGTTGCAGCCAGGGACAGGGGAGACAGGCGGCTGTGGGGGACATGCCGAGTGGGTGACAACTGAGTTCCATTGTCCAGGGTATGAGGACGTCGTCTGGATCCCCAAGGGCTCTGTCCACATTTTCATCCAAGACCTGAACCTCTCCCTCAGTCACCTGGGTGAGCAGTGGAGGGAACGAGGGGCGTGGGTCGTGGGAGAGTCGGCGTCTGGAGTTCTGACCCCTGGACTGTCCTCTCCCCAGCTCTGAAGGGGGACCAGGAGTCCCTGCTGCTGGAGGGGCTACCTGGGACCCCCCAGCCCCACCGCCTGCCCCTGGCCGGGACCACCTTTCAGCTGCGACAGGGGCCGGACCAGACCCAGAGCCTGGAAGCCCTGGGACCCATTAATGCCTCTCTGATCGTCATGGTAACAACGCGGCTGTGCCCCGAGGGTGGCGAGGTGCATCCCTTGGGGATGGGGGCTCCACGTGACCCCGCCGTGGGCTGCCACCTTCCTCCCCTGCACGCCCAGGTGCTGGCCCGGACCGAGCTGCCTGCCCTCCGCTACCGATTTAACGCGCCCATCGCCCGCGACGCTCTGCCGCCCTACTCCTGGCACTACGCGCCCTGGACCAAGTGCTCGGCCCAGTGTGCAGGGGGTGAGGCCCGGCTGGGGCTCGGGGCCCTGGGCGCCGGGCTGAGGTTCTCTCTGGGCCGGGCAGGGCTGAGCGGGCCTCTCGCCGCCCTCCCGCAGGTAGCCAGGTGCAGGCAGTGGAGTGCCGCAATCAGCTGGACAGCTCGGCCGTCGCCCCGCACCACTGCAGCGCCCACAGCAAGCTGCCCAAGAGGCAGCGCGCCTGCAACACGGAGCCCTGCCCGCCAGAGTGAGTGCCCGCCAGGGGGCAGCATTGCTCAGGGTGGGCTGAGAGTGCTCCCTGGGGTCTCGGGGAGTGCTCCAGGGGTGGGGAGCAGAGGGGCTGCAGGGAGCGGCGGGGCACCCGAGTGCTGGGGCCATAGTGCTATAGGGCTAATGGGAGTTGGGGTAAAACTGCTCCCCAAGGCAGGGCTCCTGTTTGGGTGGCCCTGGCGACAGAATGACAGTGCTCTGTCCAAGCATGTGTCTCTCCTTAGGGCGATGCCCGTCCCTGCCCTGTCCGGGTGCAGGGCCATGATGCTCCAAGTATGAAATTGGGGGGTGCTCCCTGCTTGGGACAAGAGCTGTCCAAACTGCTGACACTTCCCATGTGATGCTGGTCGTTGGGAAGGAGGGGGTGGGACCCCCTGCCTGCACCCTGGATCTCAGGCCCCGGCTCCCCCCCACCCCCCGCAGCTGGGTTGTAGGGAACTGGTCCCGCTGCAGCCGCAGCTGTGACGCGGGCGTGCGCAGCCGCTCGGTGGTGTGCCAGCGCCGCGTGTCGGCCGCCGAGGAGAAGGCGCTGGACGACAGCGCGTGTCCCCAGCCGCGTCCGCCGGTGCTGGAGGCCTGCCAGGGCCCCGCCTGCCCTCCCGAGTGGGCGGCCCTCGACTGGTCTGAGGTCAGCAGGTCCCTTTCCTTCCCGCTCACGGACAGCCCGCGCCACGTGCGGAAAGGGGCAGGGGCTCCCATGGCTCTGTGGGGGTGCCCAGCGACGCGCCTCTCCTGCAGCGTCCCTATTAGCTGCTGCCCTCCTACCCTCCCACTGGGCCGGCGCCCTGCCCGCCAGCTAAGCAAGAAACGCCCCCTCCAACTGCAGTGCACCCCCAGCTGCGGACCGGGCCTCCGCCACCGCGTGGTCCTTTGCAAGAGCGCAGACCACCGCGCCACACTGCCCCCCGCGCACTGCTCGCCTGCAGCCAAGCCGCCGGCCACCATGCGCTGCAACTTGCGCCGCTGCCCGCCCGCGCGCTGGGTGGCAGGCGAGTGGGGCGAGGTAGGCGGCCAGGCCCTGGGGGGCAAGGGCGGGGCCCGGGCAGGGGACAACGACTCAGCCAAAGCCTCTCCGCAGTGCTCCGCGCCCTGCGGCGTGGGGCAGCAGCAGCGCGCCGTGCGCTGCACCAGCCACTCGGGGCAGCCGTCGCAAGAATGCACCGAGGCCCTGCGGCCGCCCGCCACGCAACAGTGTGAGGCCAAGTGCGACAGCGCGCCCCCCGGGGACGGCCCCGAAGGTATGTGGGCGCCAGGCCAGGGCGCACCGGGAGGGCTCCTTGGCCTGGCCAGAGGAAGCCATCAGAGGGCGTGGGAGTCCTCACCGTTAGTCCCAGAGCTTCTGGAACCTCTGAAATGCCTAGCTCTGGCTTCAGGGGCCATCCTTCGCATCCGCTCCCAGGAAATATTTATTAAGTGCCACTGTGTGCACTGACCCTGCCCGTCTGGGCTACCAAAGTTGAGTCATTTCCCCAATCACCTCCATGACTTTTGTTCTAGTCATCGCCACCTGTAGCATTATTTGCCTAATATTTTTTTCTTTAAATCAGAGTTTCTTATCCTCAGGCACTATTGAAATTTTGGTCCAGACGTTTTTTTTTGTTGGGGGATGGGAGGAGGCTGCCCTGTGCTGTGTAAGATATTTGGCAGCCCCCCTGGCCTGCACCCACCGGGTGGGAATAGCAGCCTTCCCCCCATTGTGACAACCAGGAACGTCCCCAGACATTGCCCAGTGTCCCCTGGGCATCAAAGTTACCATCCCCCGCACACCACTGCAAGGAGCAGTAGATTCCTTACTCCGGGCACTGGACCCAAACTATCTGGTTCCCCTTCCAGCTCTGTGCCTTGACTTCCTTATCTTTCAAGGGGGAGGAAATAATATATTCATTTGGGGGGGGGCATTAGGGAGATGGAATTAAATAATCCACGTGAGGCCGGGCACAGTGGTTCAGGCCTGTGACCCCAGCGCTTTGGGAGGCCCAGGGAGGAGTATCGCTTGAGCCTGGGTGTTGGAGGCTGCAGTGAGAGCTGTGATCATGCCACTGCCCTCCAGCCTGGGCGACAGAGCGAGACCCCGTCTCTAAAAAGAGAAAAGAAAACAAAGGGGGCTTCGCAGCCCCAAACAGATGTTCTCTCCCGGGTGCTATCAAAAGGATCTGTGGAATGGGGATTCTTTTCTCGGTAATAATGAGTCCACGTTGGTCCAGAAGCTGCACTTTGTAAATCCTCCAAACAGCCTTATGGCATAGGTATTAGCCTCCCTTTGACAGTTGGGGAAACTGAGGCACGGAGAGGCAGTCACTGGCTAGGAGGCAATGTGCAGGTAGCAGCGGGCCCGCCCCTGCGGTGAGGGTGCGCACACCTGATTTTCCCTGTTCTCCTGCCCCCCGCCCCCCACCCCCCACCAGAGTGCAAGGATGTGAACAAGGTCGCCTACTGTCCCCTGGTGCTCAAATTCCAGTTCTGCAGCCGAGCCTACTTCCGCCAGATGTGCTGCAAAACCTGCCAGGGCCACTAGGGGGAGCGCGCGGCACCCGGAGCCACTGCCGGGCACTGGCTGGGGGGGGATGGGAGGAATGGGGGGGGTCCTCGCTCCTCCCCTCCCCCAGTCCTGCCGCTAGCTGGAGGGGGCCCCAGGGGGGCGGGAGCTGGAAGCGAAGGGTGAGATGGAACCGGAAGTTATTTATTGGGAACCCCTGCAGGGCCCCTGGCTGGGGGAAGGGGAAGGGCCGGTTACCCCAAGGGTCCCTCTTCAGCCTCTCCCTGTCCTCATAGTGAGACCCCCCCCCTCCAGGGTGGGTCTGGGGAGGGGACAACTGTTCGCCCCAGCGCCCTTTGCGCCCCCCCTTAGGGAGTCCTGAACACCCCCCCACCCCAACCCCTGGATGGGATTATGTACTGTGAAGAGTGGGGGTGGGGTGGGGGCCTGCCAGTGCCCTGCCCCCCAGCACTGCCCTAGCCCCCCACTCTGAGCAGAGGGGGGTCTATGTCTGCTATGGGGGAGGGGAGTTGGCACCACCTCCCTGACACCCTCTCCCTCTAGTCCAGAAGGAAGATCCACCCCAACCTCTGCCCTGCCTGCCCCAGGGGGACCCCGACATCCAAGCCACCCCTCATGGTGCTACAGACCCTGCCCTGGGGCCCACACTCCTGCCAGGAAGCCTTCCATCAATAAAGTTCTGTCTTGTGTAGATTTCCACGTGCAGGGGTGTGTGTGTGTGTGTGTCACCGTCCAGGCTTGGAAGGGGCCACAGCCCCTCGTGGGTCACACCCCGCAGCCAGAAAGGGGGCTTCCTCCCAGAAGCCCCCCCATGATTACCCCCTGCAAGGCGGGGTCCTTCTGCCGGTTTAGTCACTCTGTGCCTGGAGGCATTGCTGCACCTCCCAGGCACCCAGCCTGGCAATTCAGCAATCTCGCTCAGGAGGTTGGAGGAGAGCCGGGCTCCTGCCCTCCCAGCTGTGGCCACCGCCGGACGCAGTGTCTAGGTGACCCCCGGGGGGGGAGGATGTGCTCCAGCCGCTGCCCGGTCCTCAGACCTGGACCACAGATGCATCCGAACACGGGTGCCAGCCGGGCTCTGCCAGGGTCCGGTTCTGTCTCAGCCACCTCCTCGTCGGCAGTGTGGGCAGGTGACAACCTCTTGGAAATGTCATCTCCTCCGGTGTCAAGCGGAGACTCGTCCATGGTCTGCTGCTCCCCCAAAGATGAGGACACGGAATGGGCTCTGCTGGGGGGCGGGGCAGAGTTCCCGTTTTTTTTTTTACAAAGAGAAAAAGGGCGCCTGAGTCAGACAGGAAGTAGCGGAGCAGCTCCGTGTTGTTAAATGCAGATCTGACATCCAAAGCCCAGGACGGACCTGAAGGGTGCACCCGGGTGCCGGTCCCCTCTGGACCCCCTGACACAAGCACACGCGGTCGTGCTTGGATCTCAGGGGTCATGGCGGAGCCGGAGTTTGCGGGGGTGCTACCTGCAGCACGCACATCCGAAGTGGTGTTTCCCTTCCCTGGTTTTGAAAACCCAGTGGCCCAGAAGGTTCCTGGGATGGCCCTGAAAAGAGATGGCCGGGCCTGCAGGTGACCTGAATGCTCTTTGCTGCGGTCCTTGTCCCCAAGGAGATGGGGAAGGGGCCTTCTGGGGTCTGGGAGTGGCTAGTGTCAATCTTCGACCTCGCCCCTCAGGCTCAGCGCCCCAAAAAGGCCAGCTCCCCCCAGCCCTGCCGGAGCTCTCTCCCCGCCCCCTCCCTGCCCCCAGGGCCAGCTTCCCTCCCCCTCGGGGCGCGGCCCCTCCCGCCAAAGGAAGTGAGAGAGGGGCTGCCGTAAGAGGAACTGCGGCGGGAGTCGGGGTGAGGAGCAGGAGCGCGGCCATGCCCGAGCCGCCCCCGAGAGCCCCCTGACGCCGCACCCCCGTCACGGCCCACTCGGGTGCACCCCCACCCCGGCAGCTCAGACACCAACTCTCAGCATGGTAAGTCCCGCAAGGGTGGGTTCTGGGGGCGCAAGGGTGCGGTGCACCCGCCAGGGGGAGGTGTCCTGAAAGCCACCGTCGGAAGGCAGGGCAAAGGACAGGGGGGCACGGAGGACCGTTTGGGGGTGGGGGTGTCCCTCAGGGCAGCTGACATCCCCCCGGCGTCCCTTACCGGAGCCCGAGCTCCCATTTTGAAGGCAGAGAGGATGCCAGGGTGGCGATGGTGACCAAGAATGGAGCGGTGACCAGGAGATACAAGGTGGCCCCTGCAGAATCTGCAGAGACGGGGACGGACCCCTTTGCAGGGGCTCGGGGGAGATGAGGGACTCACCTCCCGGTGTGGCCTTGGGCAAGTCACTTCCCCTCTCCTGGCCCCAGTGCCGGCAGACAGCATATTTGGGAGTCAGCCTAGACGTGGAAGTTGCTCTGCGGGGCGCTCTGGGTTGGACAGCAGGGGTGCGGTGACAGCCTGCCCGCCTGGGTGATGGGGGCCGTGGCTGTAGCAGCCACAGAGGCAGGAGATGGTGGCCCTGGGTGCCATCCCTGGCTGTCATCCACGCGGGGATGGCAGCGGAAAATACCAAAGCCAGAGACGTCGATGCCGGTGCAGGCTGAGGGCTCCGGGCGACAAAGTCGGGGAGACGGTCCGACCCCGCACGGGGCCCCCGCAGGGTCAGGCACGCACCGCGAGAGGCAGCCGGGCCACGTCTATCAACCCCACCCGAAGCAACCCTCGGGCCTCCACAGACCACTTCGGCTTTCGTTTCTCGTCACTCCGCCAAGGCGTGTGACGGGGACAGGGACAATCGCAGGCCTCTTGGCAGTTGCAGTTAGGGACAGCTAACCGGGGCAGAGCTGGGGAGGTGGGGCGAGAGGCAGAGGTCCCGTCTCCCGCTTGCAGAAAGCCAACAGTAAATAGCATGTCCCCGGCCAAGGACCCCTCTGGGTGACTGGCAGGCAACCGGGCCGGAGCTCGGAGCGCGGGTGGGAACGCTTCCCAGCCACGCCAGGGAGGCTCGGGCGCTCTGATGGGCAGATCTCGATCAGAGGAACACAGGAAGAGATCTGCTTGCTACTTTAAAGAAAAGCAGCCCCTCCCTAAGGAAGCCGAGTAAATGCCGAGTCAGCAGTGGACCCGGCAGGTCAGCCCCGGGAAGGAACAAATGCGTGGAAAGAGGCCGGTGGGACAGGAAGCGAGCAGAGCCCCTCTGTGAGGCCAGGACTCCTGGCCTCCACCACACCCCTCCAGGAGGCTTCAATCCTTCAAGATCGTTGAAGGATTCAATGAAACCACGTCTGCAACGTCCTTTGCAGAGCATGTAACCGGCACCCGCTAGGGGACAGCTGCCCTTACCAAGGGCGTGCATGCATTGCTGCATTTAGGGACAGGGATGGGTGGAGGTGACGGTCTTGGCCATCGCGCAGAGTTGCTGTGGGTGGTTGTGTGTTGGGTTGTCGGTGTCATCGGTTGTGATGGTGGTCGTCGTCGCTGTTGGTTGCTGGGCGTTGGTGGTGGTGGCGGATGTCTTTGGTGACAGCCGGGTTTTAACACTGCTCATTGGTGGTTGGTTGTTTTCAACTGGAAATGTCGGGGCTACTTGGCGACCGGCAGGTAGAACGATGGCAGTCAGTGGTCGCTGTTCTTTGGATTCGGGTGGCGTTGGTAGTAGTTAGTGCTCATTTGCTGTTGGTAGTTAACTGTTGGTAACATTAACCAATTAATTAATCTCCAGTTAATCAATCGATCACCAATTAATTAACCATCAATTAATGAATCACCAATCAGTGATGGTGGTAGCAATTCGGCGCTGGGTTTTTGAACGGGCAATGGCTGATGAACATGGCGTCATGGGGCTGCTAGTGACAGTCACTTGTGTGTAGCTGTTGATGGCTAGTTTTAGGGTTTGGGGGGCTTTTTCATTTTTTTCTTTTTTGAGACAGGGTCTTGCTCTGTCACCCAGGCTGGAGTTCAGTGGCGGGATCATACCTCACTGCAGCCTCCAACTCCTGGGCTCAAGCGATCCTCCTGCCTCAGCCTCCCGAGTAGCTGGGACCACAGGCGTGAGCCACCATGCTGCCTAATTTTTTTAATTTTTTGTAGAGATGGGGTCTTGCTATATTGCCCAGGCTGGTCTTGAACTCCTGGTCTCAAGCAATCCTTTCACTTCGGCCTCCCAGGGTGCTGGGATTATAGGTGTGACCTAGTTTTGTTGATGGGGGTTGGTGATTGTGGGTTGGTGGTGGTGGTGGTCGAGGTCGCAGGGGAGGGTGACGGTGGGATTGGTTATGGTCTCTGTTCAGTCTTGGCTAGTGGTGGCGGCACTGAGGCTCTTACTGGTTTCTGTTTGGCTTTGTTGGGGGCTGGAGAGGCTGGAAGGGGTAAAAGGTTGCCCTTGTTTGTTGGCGATGGTGGTGACAACAGGGTGACGGTGGTTGATTGCTTTGTTTTGTTTTGTTTTGTTTTGTTTTTGAGACAGAGTCTCACTCTGTTCCCCAGGCTAGAGTGAGTGCTGTGGCGTCAGCCTCGCTCACAGCAACCTCCAACTCCTGGGCTCTAGCGATCCTCCTACCTCAGCCTCCCAAGTAGCTGGGACCATAGGCATACGCCACCATGCCCGGCTAATTTTTTCTATTTTTAGTAGAGACAGGGTCTCACTCTTGCTCAGCTGGTCTCCAACTCCTGGCCTCAAGCAGTCCTCCCGCCTCAGCCTCCCAGAGTGTTGGGATTACAGGTGTGAGCCACCGCGCCCGGCCGTTGGTGGTAGTTTCGAAGGTACAGTCGCAAAGCGGGGAGAACAGGGTGTGGCTGCTTGGTCCAGAGGCGATGGCCTTGAGGAGGGCCAGGCGAGGGACTTAGGAGGAAGACTCAGGAAAACCTGCGGTTCATCCATGCAAAGGCTAAGGACAGCCGTGCGTCGGGACGGGCAGGTTTCTGCCTTGGGGACTGGGGGGACCTCATCCCAGAGGCCCTTCCCGGACAAGCAGACGGCGCGAAGCCGGGGTTCCCCAGCTCTGCAAGGGGATGTTTGAGGAGGGGGTGACTGCCCCTTGGCAGTCTCCAGCGACTCCACGTGAAGCTCTAAAAAGACAAGGGCCACCCCCCCCCGCAGCCATGCTGGATAATGGCCCTCAGCCAAGTCACAGAAGAAACTGAGCCCCAGGGCTCCCCCAAAAGAGTGGGTGATGCTGGGAGCCTTTGGGGGTGCAGCCGTCGTCTGCACAGTGCAGAGATGCAGGGTGTGGCCTGGGATTCCGGCTGAGCTGGGGCGCGGGGTCGGGCACCCCCGGGGGGCACGGGGCAGGGCCTCGGGGATGACAGCTGCCTCAGCCGCGGCTGCTGCAGGCTCACGTCTTCTGCCGGCAGCCACAGCTCCCCGGACCCAGAGGAGGAAGGAAGTGGCTATTTCGTCGCTCTCCCCAGTCTGGGCACTTGCTCCTTCCCCGCCCAGGAGCAGTTGAGGCGAATTGCAAAAGCCGCCCCGTCCATCCGTCCGTCCAGCCCTTCCTCCTGACCCCTGGGGCCCTGGGCAGCCACGCCTGGAAACCTTTGTCTCTTTGAATCCACACAGCAGCCCCGTGAGCTCTGCGACCCTGCGTGTCCCCATTCCCCAAATGAGGAAACTGAGGCAGAGAGCTTAAGCAAGGGTCGTACGACCCAAAGTGGAAGAGGACTCCAACGCCATGAAGGTCCCAAGGTGACCCTATTAACAGCCACCTTGGCCCTCTGCGAGATAAGAGGCCCCGGGGTTAGGAGCTGATCCCCTACACGCCCCGGGCGGGTCCACTTCTCCAGCCTCACTTGCACCTCCTGGCCGATGGTTCCCACTGTCACCACCAGCTCTGCCGGGAAGTTCGTGTTGCAAGACCTGCCTCCTCCAGGAAGCCCCCCACCCCTGCTCACTGCTCCTTTGGGCAACTCGAGACACCACTTGCGAGGCGCCGAACCCCACAAAGACAGGGTCCAGGCCTGGGCCCCCTAAGCCTGGTCTCCGCCTAGCGCCATGCACACAGCTGGGGCTTGGGAAGAGCGTGCGCTGCAGGGTGTGCACGGCCCCAGCCCCACAGAAGCCGTCACCTTGACCACAAACAGCCGCTCCCTCCTTTAGCACCACGAAAACTGTCCCCTTCTGCCCTGGGGCAGGGAGACCTCTCTGAAGAGCTGAAGGAAGAAGCTACCCCTCCTTCGCACCCCAGCCACCTCAAGCCCCTGACAGCCTTTCACAAGAGCCCCAGCGGGTTGAGTCATACTTGGCTTGTGGTCTACTGTGACCACAAGCTCTTCGTTGCACCCCCAACCCCACCCCCAAGGAAGGGACTTTGGGACAAACATTTTCAACTTGACCCATGGAGACTTGGGGGACACAGAGAGAGAGAGAGAGACACCTGTGAGACAGGGCAGGGGCAGCCTCATCCCAATGGTACTTCATTCGTTCATTCATTTATTCAGCGAATAGGCACTGATCAGCTCCTTTATCCAAGCTCTTTGTCAAACGCTGATCACTGAAATGTTTTGGGGGCCACTGGCTGCCATTTCCCGGCCTCTCGGCGACTCCCCCGGAGGAGATCATTACAGAATCCATTTGACAGATGGGGAAACTGGGGCTAGGAGAAGTGAAGCGGAGTCCCTGGAGTCCCATAGTCAGTCAACTATCAAGTCAGGCCTGGAACCCAATCCATTCCATGCCAAAATTCTTGGCTGTCTTCCCCCACACGGCGCTAACTTGAGCAAAACTGCCTCTCTTTCCTTTCCATGCAAAACCCCATAATTTTTTTTATTTTTATTATTTTTTTTTTTTTTTACATAGAGTCTCACTCTGTCACCGAGGTTGGAGTGCCATGGCGTCATCATAGCTCCCCGCAGCCTCCAACTCCTGGGCTCAAGCGATCCTCCTGCCTCGGCCTCCCAAAGTGCTGGGATTACAAGCATGAGCCACCGCGCGCACCTGGCCACCCTGTGATTTTTATGATCGGCCGGAGCTTGGAGTGGCTGGGGGCCTGGGCAGGGCAGAAGGGAGAAAATGGTAGGTGCCACAGAAGGAGAGAGCCACACAGCCGGATGAGGAAAAAGGGGAAGGACAGGAAGAGGAACCAAGTTCTCAGACCCAGGGGAGCCAGGCGGGCTGGTGGGCCCACACAGACGCGGCTGGCCTCAGGGCCTCCGAGCCCAGCAAGGGGAAGTGGCCTTGGTTCTCAGCTCAGCCAGAGGGACCTAGTAGTGACAGTCGGGCTGGGGAGGGACGGTCTCGTGTGTCCTCCCGCTAAGATCCTCTCTGCCTGCACCTTCATGTTGCTGCTGTGTGACCCTGAGGAGCACACCTAACCTCTCTGTGCTGTGGTTTGCTCTTCTTTAAAACGGACCCAACCACAGGACCGACCTCAGCATCCGCGTTGAGAGGATGAAACGAAGTCATTCAGGGCAAACGTTTAGACCACTAGCACTTCGGGAGGCCGGAGCGGGAGGATCGCTTGGCCCCATGAGTTCAAGACCAGCCTGAGCAAGAGCAAGACCCCGTCTCTATAAGAACCAGAAAAATTAGCCGGGCGTGGTGACGCGCACCTATAGTCCCAGCTACTCGGGAGGCTGAGGCAGGAGGATCGCTTGAGCCCAAGAGTTTGAGGTTGCAGGGGAAAAAAAGGAAAAGAGACCAGAGGTCAGCGCCCTTGCCCTGAGTAAGGGCGAGCAGCGTGCTAACTTTCGTGTGCCGTCCTGTTGTTGTTGTTTACCACTGCTGCCATCCAGTCCCCACCCTGCACCTCTTCAGAGAGAGAAGCCACTTCCTGTTCTCCCCACCCACGGATGGGGCTGAGCCTGTCCCCGCCGTCCCCAGGTACCCCCATAGGGAAGAAGCGGGACCCCCAGCACCCCCCTGCCCCACTGAGCCCTTGAATGACACCATTTCGCCCCCGATTCTCCCCGTCTCTCTTCACCAACACACTCTGGCCTCCCCACCTGAAAACAGGAAACGCAGGCTCCCCTCTCTCCCCCACCTCTCCCCGCCCCCACCCGGCCTCCTCCCCTCCTCCCCTCCTCAGCCAGATAGTCTGAAAACCGGCCTCACCCCCTGTCTACACCTCCTCACTGCCCAATCCGAATTCTGACCCTGAGGCCCCCAACACTCTCCCCTCCTGGGCGTCTCTGAGCCTGCAGGAGCTTGGATGTTCTTTGGGCTGCACTCGATGGTTGCCTCCTGCCTCCCTGGTGGCTCCCACTTGGCGACATCCTCGCCCCTGTGCTCCAAGCTGCTCCCCACAGCTTTGTTCCTCGCCCCCTTCTCAACGCATCTGCGGCTCTTATGGTGCCCCTCCCAGCACCCCCTTTTAGTAACAAACACCTCCTCGGGTCCCCTTAAGTCCCTACGTGAGCCAGGCTGCAATGGTTCATGCCTGTAACCCCAGCACTCTGGAAGGCCAAGGTGGGAAGATCACCTGAGGCCAAGGGTTCAAGACCAGCCTGGGCAACATAGCAAGACCCCCATCTCTAAAAAAAAAAAAAAAATTTAAATCAGCCGGGCATGGTGGTGCACGACTGTAGTCCCAGCTACTCGGGAGGCTGAGGCAGGAGGATCGCTTGAGCCCAGGAGTTCAAGGCTGCAGGGAGCTATGATGAGGCCACTGCACTCTAGCCTGGGTGACAGAGCAAGAGCTTGTCTCAAAAAATAAATAAATAAATAAAACTTCAATCTGGACATGAAATCTTCAGACAACGGAACACGCTGGTCACCGGACTCCATGTAATCCGGACATTACGATAAACCGTGTGCGCAGATATGAAAAGGCGCCCAGGCCAGGGGACCAAGAAGCTCCGGGGGAGCCTCCACGTGCTCGCACCTGTACACAGGTGTGTCTCAGTAAGCGCAGCAGCCCCTCCCCCCCACATTCCAGGCCACCAGCACCCTGACCTTCAGCGATGAGAGCTTCCGAAATGCCGACCTCTCGGCGAAATCTGGACAAGACTAAAATCTCCCTTCCTATGTGGTCGTCACAGTCCCAGAAAACGCAGCGGGTGTCAACTGTTTGAGGAGAATAAATCGGTTTTCAGCTGGGTGAGAGGCTCGCGCCTGCAACCCCAGCACTTTGGGAGGCAGGAGACCAGCCTGGGCAACGTAGTGAGACCCCATCACTACAAAAATGTAAAAATTAGCCAGGGTTGGGGGTGCACATCTGTACTTCCCAGGTACTCGGGAGGCTGAGGCAGGAGGATCGCTTGAGCCCAGGAGTTGGAGGCTGCAGTGAGCTGTGAGGATGCCACTGCACTCTAGCCTCAAAAAAAAAAAAGGAAAAGAAATGATCTGACCTACTTTGTTGGGTTGCAGACCCACATACCATACCAGAGAGGGCCCTGCCCCACACTCAGAAGAAAGGGGCGCATGCTCAGAGAGGGACGCATGCTCAGAGAGGGGCGCATGCTCAGAGAGGGACGCATGCTCAGAGACCCCCACGCAGCCTGTTAGCATTACGTCATCCTCTTCCCATCCAATCATCTTCCTACACACTTTCCCTACTGTGTTGAACCTGCACATAAAAACGGACAATCTGGCCGGGCGCGGTGGCTCACGCCTGTAATCCTAGCTCTTGGGAGGCCGAGGCGGGTGGATTGCTCGAGGTCAGGAGTTCAAAACCAGCCTGAGCAAGAGCGAGACCCAGTCTCTACTATAAATAGAAAGATATTAATTGGTCAACTAATATATATAGAAAAAAATTAGCCGGGCATGGTGGCGCATGCCTGTAGTCCCAGCTACTCGGGAGGCTGAGGCAGGAGGATCGCTTGAGCCCAGGAGTCTGAGGTTGCCGTGAGCGAGGCTGACGCCACAGCACTCACTCTAGCCTGGGCAACAAAGTGAGACTCTGTCTCAAAAAAAAAAAAAAAAGAAAGAAAAAGAAATGGTTAATGTTGTGAGCTGGTAGCAGGAGATAGCTGAAGCAACTGTGTCTGGTTTTTCCCTTTTTCTTTTTACTCTGTGAGGCCAGCTTATCAGAGTCCTTGAAATGTGGTTCTGGCAGGAACTGGGGCGGAGAGTTTGCACCTCTCCTGTCTGCTCAGGGCTCTTCAAGGCTGCTTAAAAAAAAAAAAAAACAAACTCTTAGATAAAACAATTTAAGCGACAGGTGGTTGATCAAATAAAGGGGCAGTTGTGTTGAGATCCTTCCCTTCAAATGGCGATTACGTGCTGTGAGTCTATTCCTCTTCCTTTGTGTTATGTAGTTTATTTTTCTCCGTTAGATAGTTTATTAGCAAGGCCGTCCTTTCAGCCATCCTTCCCCCTGTTTGCTGTGCTCCTCCCTTGCAGGAGTGTACTGAAAGGAGACAGCGTGAGCCGAGAGAGCCAGGGTGTTTAAGGCATTAAATGAATTCAATCAGTCTAAAAGGAGAGAGCATTCCAGGCGGGCTTCCTGGAGGAGGGTTTTTTTTTTGTGGGTGGGGGAAGAGCCCATGCCTGAGTCTCCTCTACAGGGCGTAAAGTGGCTGTGCTGATGAAAAACAGAGGGGGGAACCGAGACAGGAAAGAGGGAGCCTGGGAAGGTGCTGGGGTTGCTGAGGGGCCAGGCAAAGGCACCCGAGCGCAGAGGAGACCTTGGCAGAGGCGGCAGGGACACTGGAGTGGACACTGGGGTGGACACTGGGGTAGACAGGAGTGGACACTGGGGTGGACAGGAGTGGGCACTGGGCCGGGAGTGGGCGGTGCAGATAAGGAACTGGGTCATGGGAAGGCAAAGAGGGCAGAGGCCACGGTCACATGATGGCCTTTAGGAGCTCAGAGTGACAGGCTGGGTGGCAGCACCGCAGGAGAGGAGGAGGAGGAGTGGGAGGAAGCAGGCCACCTCACAGCGGGTCAGAGGCCACAGAGAGGTCAGGGACTCAGGCCGGGCCTGGGCGGGGAGCTGGGGAAGTGAGACGCAGAATGGGCCGCGTCCCCAACGACCCAGCCTTCCCGTCTCCCTCCTCCCCAGCTGCCGGGGACACTAGCGGGGGCGCAGGCGCCCCGGCCGAGCCTGGCACCCCGCGTGGCTGGGCAGCAGGCGCACTGAGTGGAGGGATGGACACCAGAGGGACCCACAGGGACTGCTGGGGGACAGGTCTGAGCCGGCCTTCCGTCGGGGCAGGGAGTGTGCGCCGGACCTTGCCCGCCTCTTGGTGTCCCCGAGACGGGGAAGGAGGGACAGAGGTTGGGGACCCTGCCGGGACTCAGCCCCACCCCGCCGCCCCCGCCCGCCCGCAGGGCAGCAAGGAGCGCTTCCACTGGCAGAGCCACAACGTGAAGCAGAGCGGCGTGGACGACATGGTGCTGCTGCCCCAGATCAGCGAGGACGCCATCTCGGCCAACCTGCGCAAGCGCTTCCTGGACGACTACATCTTCGTATCCTGGCCGAGCAGGGCCGGCTGGCCGGGCAGAGGGAGGGGTGGGCAGTGAGGGCAGCGGCTGGTGGGGTGGGGGCCGGATGGAGGGAGCACAGGGCTCTGGTTGGGGGCCACCGTGGCTGCCACTGATGACTCTGCCCTGTGGTCACCCCTCTGCGGGCTGCAAATCCCATCCCCCTCCGTCCACGGGGACTTGAGGCGCATGGGAGCAACCCCGCCTCTTCCTCCGAGCAATGGGACTCTAGGGGGCCCCAGAGGAACAGGATGAGGGGGCAGAGGTCCCAGGGAGGGAAATCCAACCAGGACACCTTAACCACCTCCCAGACCTACATCGGCTCGGTGCTCATCTCTGTAAACCCCTTCAAGCAGATGCCCTACTTCACTGACCGCGAGATCGACCTCTACCAGGGCGCGGTGAGGCCGGGGGGCCGGATGGGGGACCCAGCCCCAGTACCCCACGGCACCCCCCGCGCCCCGGGCTCAAAGCTGATCTCCCCGCCAGGCCCAGTATGAGAACCCCCCGCACATCTACGCCCTCACGGACAACATGTACCGGAACATGCTCATCGACTGCGAGAACCAGTGTGTCATCATCAGGTACCAGGTGGGGGGGACACGGACCTGCTGCCCGGCCCCCTGCTGACACATCACCCTCACCTGCGGGGAGCTGTCCCTGCAGCCCCCAATCCGCACAGGGCCTTGCTGCCCCTCTCTGCCCTCCCCCCACCCCCCATTTTTACTTTCCTTGTCACCATCTGACTCGTGATATATTTTATTTATTCATTCTGTTATTATCCATCTGTTTCCTCTAAATTTCAGCTCCATGAGGGCAGGAGGGCAGGGATTTTTATCTGTCTTGTTCACTATGGTATCTCCAGTATCTGGAATAGTGCCTGGTACGCAGTAGGTGCTCAATGAATGACTGAATGAATAATGGTCAGGCACTAAAAAGGGTCCTTCCTCCATCCACCCCCAGTGGAGAGAGTGGAGCTGGGAAGACGGTGGCAGCGAAATACATCATGGGCTACATCTCCAAGGTGTCCGGCGGGGGAGAGAAAGTCCAGGTGAGGCGAGGAGAGGAGGAGGACGGGTTGGGTCTCCCACCCACGTGCACGGTAGTTCAGCCCCACCACCCATCCCCACCACCCCTGCCCAGCCTGACCGCTCCCCACCCCACCCGTCTCTGCCCCCAGCACGTCAAAGACATCATCCTGCAGTCAAACCCGCTGCTCGAGGCCTTCGGCAACGCCAAGACCGTGCGCAACAACAATTCCAGCCGCTTCGTGAGTCTCTGCAGCCCTGCTTGGAGCAGCTGCTCCCTCCTCCCTCTCTCTCTCTCTCCCTAAACCCTCTTTCTCTCTCCACACCCTCCCTCCCTCCCTCTCTCTGTCTCTCTGTCTCTCTGTCTCTCTCTCTCTCTCTCTCACACACACACACACACACACATCCGTATTGCCAGGACAAGAGCCCTGTGGAAATAATCCAGCAGGAAATACTTGCTTCTGGATGGGAGACTCACTTCCTGTTTCTGGTCCGTCTGAAAAAAGAGTCCCCCATGGGCAGAACAATGGAGGCCATGACACCTCTGTGTAACATTTTAAATACCCCCCGGCCGTGCTACATATGTTCCCATTTACGTTTCAGATCCAATTTCTTCCCTCATGCATTCCTTCTTTGTGGTCCAGTTGTGTCACTGTTTATCTGTGTGGCCTGGACAAAAAAAAAAAAAAATCAATTTAACTTCATCCTTAAAATTGGGATGACATTAGTATCCATCTCAGAGCCCTCAGTGATTTCAGCACAATGTCTGCACATGGAAATGGCTTGATAAATTCCATACACCAAGACTTTTTTGCTTCCCTAAAATATTAGTTTTGAATTGTATTTTTATTTTGTAAAATATAATTGTATTTTAAGGATGTGTCCCAACATTTTATTAGAAAAATTTTCAAATACACAGAGAAGTTGAAACAATAGCACAGTGAACACCTGTGTGCCCACCTCCTAGAGTCTATCATTACCATGTTACCATACTTGCCATAATGGATTTCCACCTATTCATTCACTCACATTATTTTTTGATGCACTGCAAAGTAAGCTGTAGATACCATACCTTTCCCCAAAAAACTTTAGCATGCAGATTATTCATTATTGCCCAATATAAATGTGCAGCTCTCTTTTATTTCTTTGTACATAGCAAAATATACACAGTATCTGTGGGGTATGGACTCCCTTCTGACACAAAAATCCAAGCAGGCTCCAATTCTTTATATAAACAGCGTAGTATTTGCATATAACCCTCGAATATCCTCCCATATACTTTATTTTTTTTTTATTTTTTTTTTATTTTGGCATATTATGGAGGTACAGATTTTAAGGTTTCAATAAATGCCCATTTCCCCCCGTCCCATATACTTTAAATCATCGCTACATACTTATAATACCTAATTGAGGGTAAATACTATGGGATGGTTATTATACTGTATTTTTATTTGTATTATTTTTATTGTTGTATTATTATTTTTATGGAGTTTTTTAAATGTTGTTGGCATGCAATTAGTTGAATTTGTGGACGTGGACGGCCCAGATATGGAGGGCAGGCTACACCTGAAGTTGACCATTCGCTGAGTTTGAACAAATGCATGCACCTGTGCAACCCAAACTCCTATCAACATCCAGGGCATCAAAATCCCCCCAGAAAGTTCCCTTTTATCCCTCCCTGGCCAATCTCTGCTCCCAACTAACCCCAGAAACAACCCTTCTCCTGATTTTGTTCACCATAGATTAGTTTCAGCTGTTCTAGCGTTTCATCTATAAATGCAATCACATAATATGTGTTGTTTTCAAATGCAAAAACATAGACGAACCTCAAAAATGCATGCTTTATTTTATACAATTTTATTGTGCAATAAAATAGGCATATGTTACCATGTTTCCCTGAAAATAAAACAGGGTCTTATATTTATTTTTCCTCAAGAAGACACCCTAGGGCTTATTTTCAGGGGATCTGTTTGGTTTTTTTTTAAGTACGGTACAACAATCTACATTTATTCAAATATAGTTAAGTCTTCTTCTGGAACATCATCATCACTCTCCAGACCCTGAATTCCATCCTGAATTTCTTGAGACTCTGTTTCCTTTAGAACCATTGGCCCCAATCTCTCCTGTTGAGCAATAGAGCTCTCATGGGGCAGATGAAAAGGGCTGCTCGTCTTTTTACCGCTTTGCGACAAAATGCATGGGTTGTGCAGATGCGCTGCGTAGCCACGCCCATCACTAGGTCTTATTTTCGGGGTAGGGCTTCTATTGCGCAAACACTTAGAAATCCTACTAAGGCTTATTTTATGGGCAGGTCTTATTTTCGGGGAAACACGGTGTATATTACAGGTGTCTAATTGTGTAGCACGGTGATGTAATTTGTGTCGTTATTGGAGGAGGCAGCAGACAGGAGAAACAGGGAACTTCCCTGCCCTTCAACCTCTGGCCAAAGCAAAATCCACAGGGTGTCAGAGGCCAGAGAAGGCACCTGTGGGGCTCTTGCTCTGGGCTCAGGGAGGGCATATGGGAGACGCCCAGAATCATCGGGACCAGTAGCATCCCATAGACACACGGAGGCCTGTGAAACGACTGCAGAACTGGCCAAAAAAGTGTGATGTTTCTGGCCGGGCATGGTGGCTCACACCAGTAATCCCAGCACTTTTGGAGTCCTAAGTGGGAGGGTCACTGGAAGCCAGGAATTTGAGACCAGCCTGGGCAACATAGTGAGACCCCACCTCTAAAAATAGATAGATAGATAGATAGATAGATAGATAGATAAATAGATAGATAGATAGATAGATAGATACAAAAATTAGCCAGTTGTGGTGTCTCATGCCTGTAGTGCCAGCTACTCGGGAGGCTGAGGCGGGAGGATTGCTTGAGCCCAGGAGTTGGAGGCTGCAGTGAACCATGATGGTACCACTGCACTCCAGCCTGGGTGACAAAGCGAAACCCTGTCTCCAAACAAGTGATGCTTCTATATGCCAGGCACAGGGCTGTGTACCCAGAGTAAGGGCTCGGAGCATCAGAGAGGGGAAAAAAGGACATTCCTGGCCCAGAACACAGCCTGAGCACAGGCTAGGGGTAGCAGCTGGTGAGAAAGGCAAGTCGTCCAAAAGTGGGAGATGGGGAGAGAAAAGAGAGTCAAGGTCACATGGGAAGAGGGGAAGAGGGGCCGGACACATAAGAACCCTCCCCAGGCCGGGCGCGGTGGCTCACGCCAGTAATCCTAGCACTCTGAGAGGTTGAGGTGGTGCCGTGATTGCTCGGGGTCAGGAGTTCAAAACCACCTGAGCAAGAGCGAGACCCGTCTCTACTATAAATAGAAAGAAATTAATTGGCCAACTAATATATATAGAAAAAAATTAGCCGGGCATGGTGGCGCATGCCTGTAGTCCCAGCTACTCGGGAGGCTGAGGCAGGAGGATCGCTTGAGCCCAGGAGTTTGAGGTTGCTGTGAGCTAGGCTGACGCCACGGCACTCACTCTAGCCTGGGCAACAAAGTGAGACTCTGTCTCAAAAAAAAAAAAAAAAAAGAACCCTCCCCAGTCCTTCCCCCACTTGCACCCTTGGGAGCTGGGCTGGGGGAGGGGGCTGACGGGGTTCTCTCGGACTCAGGGCAAGTATTTCGAGATCCAGTTCAGCCGAGGCGGGGAGCCGGATGGAGGCAAGATCTCCAACTTCTTGCTGGAGAAGTCCCGAGTGGTGATGCAGAATGAAAGCGAAAGGAACTTCCACATCTACTACCAGGTGCGGGGAAGGGGCCGTGGGGCCCGGGCGGAGGGGACCCTGGGGGGAGGCGGCGACAAGGAGGGCCGGGAGGGGGGTCACACGGGCGGTGCCAGGTTGGCACCAGGCGCATGAGCATCCCACCCCCCACCCAGCTGCTGGAAGGCGCCTCCCACGAACAGCGGCAGAACCTGGGGCTCATGACTCCCGACTACTATTACTACCTCAACCAGTCGGACACCTACAAGGTGGACGGCACCGACGACAGGAGTGACTTCGGTGAGACTCTGGTGAGCACCGGCCGCCACTCCAGCCCCCAGCCAGACCCTCAGCCCGGGGAACCCTCCCCGGTTACAAACCAGGAAACCGAGGCCCAGAGAGGTGCAGGCACTCACGCAAGGTCACACAGCAAGCGGGGGGGAAAGAGAGAGACGGGGGAGGTGTATGCTGTGTGGGAGGCGGGAGGCCCGACTCCCGGAGGCAGGGCGGAGGCCAGGACTGGAGGCTCAGGCTCAGTCCGTCGTGCCCACAGGGCGCCATGCAGGTCATCGGGATCCCGCCCAACGTCCAGCAGCTGGTCCTGCAGCTGGTGGCGGGGATCTTGCACCTGGGGAACATCAGCTTCTGCGAAGACGGGAATTACGCGCGGGTGGAGAGTGTGGACCGTGAGTGTGGACCGCTGCTGCCTCCTCCTTCAGTCCCGGGAGGGGGAGAAAGCCACCAGGGCCCTGCCGCGAGCGCCACGGGGCGAGAGGAGGAGGGAGGGAGGTCCCCACACGGCGCCTTCCCCGCCCCGGCCCTGCAGTCCTGGCCTTCCCCGCCTACCTGCTGGGCGTGGACAGCGGGCGGCTGCAGGAGAAGCTGACCAGCCGCAAGATGGACAGTCGCTGGGGCGGGCGCAGCGAGTCCATCGACGTCACCCTCAACGTGGAGCAGGCGGCCTACACCCGCGACGCCCTGGCCAAGGGCCTCTACTCCCGCCTCTTCGACTTCCTTGTGGAGGCGAGTGGGGCCCGGGGCCGGAGCGCGGGGTGGGTGCTCTGGGGCGGCAGACACGTATGGAGCGCCTGCTGTATGCACAGCCAAGTGCGGGAGACAGGCCGGGCCACCAGAATCCCGCCCGCGCCTGGGCGCCAGGGGCTTTTGGAGAAGGCAGCGGGGGGATGCGATGGAAGATTTAGAGACTCTTTCTGGCTCTGGGGCAGGGTTCCTCAAACTTTTTAAACAGGGGCCAGTTCACTGCCCTCAGGGCCGTTGTTGAGGGGGCGCTATAGTTTTAAAAAAAGCTATGGACAAATTCCTATGCACACCGCACGTATCTTATTTTGAAGTGAAAAAACAAAGGGGGCCGGGCGCGGTGGCTCACGCCTGTAATCCTAGCACTCTGGGAGCCGAGGCAGGAGGATTGCTCGAAGGTCAGGAGTTCAAAAACCAGCTGAGCAAGAGCGAGACCCCATCTCTACTATAAATATGAAAGAAATTAATTGCAACTAATATATAGAGAAAAAATTAGCTGGGCATGGTGGCGGAATGCCTGTAGTCCCAGCTACTCGGAGAGGCTGAGGCAGGAGGATCGCTTGAGCCCAGGAATGTGAGGTTGCTGTGAGCTAGGCTGACGCCACGGCACTCACTCTAGCCTGGGCAACAAGTGAGACTGTCTCAAAAACAGGCAAAAACACCGGCATGTGGCCCGCAGGCTGTAGTTTGAGGACATCTAGTCTGGGAAGAGGAGGTCGCTGGAGCGGCCCAGGCCTGGACTGGGCGGGATAGGTGATGCGTGGACACGTGAGGGGGGGGGTGCATTTAAGTGACATCAGCAGGGCTTTTCGAGAGGACAGAGTGGAGGCAGAATGGAGGGTGGGAAGGAACAGGGATGCGTACACAACACTTAGTGTGTGCTGGGCATGTTCTCAGTGTTTTAGGTGTACCAATTTCTTTAATCTTCAAAAAAAAAAACAAAAGTTCGAGATCAGGCTGGGCAACATAGTGAGACCCCATTTCTACAAAAAATAATAATAAAAAAAAAATTAGCCGGGCATGGTGTTGTGCACCTGTAGTCCCAGCTACTTGGGAGGCTGAGGCAGGAGGATCAGTTGAGCCCAGGAGTTTGAGGTTGCTGTGAGCTAGGCTGATGCCACGGCACTCACTCTAGTCTGAGCAACAAAGCAAGACTCTGTCTCAAAAACAAATAAATAAATAAATAAAGTAAAGAAGGGAAAATAGGGGCGCCAAGAGGTGCAGCAGAGCGGCTCCCTGGTCTGGACCCCGATGCGCTGACACTTGGGTTTCTCCTGTGGGTGGCCGGGGGGCGGGGCCATCGCCCATGACCTTGGCTGAGAGCCTATCTAGAGGGTGGCGGGCAGGGGGTTGGGGGTCTGACCTGTCCCCACCCACACCCCAGGCCATCAACCGTGCAATGCAGAAGCCGCAGGAAGAGTACAGCATCGGCGTGCTGGACATCTACGGCTTTGAGATCTTCCAGGTGCGGCCCCTGCCCCTGGCGGGCCCCCACCCTGGCCTCCCCGGAACTCCCGGCGGCCGCAGAGGCCTCCAGGGTCAGCCCACCGAGGGAAGGACCCTTTTCTTCCCTCCGCAGAAAAACGGCTTCGAGCAGTTCTGCATCAACTTCGTCAACGAGAAGCTGCAGCAAATCTTTATCGAGCTCACCCTGAAGGCCGAGCAGGTGCGCGGAGCCGGCCCAGCGCCAGGCACTGGGGGACTCGGGGCGGGGGGGACCGTGAGGTCGCTAAGCAACTGGAGGACACCCCAGCCCTTGCCCCTGCCCCACTCCCACCTCCTTCTGCCTCCCGCCTCCCTGTCCGGGATCCCCGTGAGACTCCTTGGGGATATTTCCTTCTGCTTCTAAAGCTTTGCCAAAGGCTGGGCGACAGCCTCTTTGTTCATTCACTGACAATGGTTCACTGGGCACCTGCCACGTGCCAGGCGCCGCCTGGGGTGCTGGGGGGAGGGACCGCCCACGAGCAAGAAGACAAGCGTCTCTCTTGGAGTCCCAGGAGAGCTGGAGGCTGCAGTGAGCTATGATCGTGCCACTGCAAAATGGGTGACAGAGCGAGAACCCCCCAATTTCTTAAATAAATAAATATATATTTATATTTTTTTGAGACAGAGTCTCGCTTTGTGGCCCAGGCTAGAGTGAGTGCCATGGCGTCAGCCTAGCTCACAGCAACCTCCAACTCCTAGGCTCAAGCGATCCTCCTGCCTCAGCCTCCCCAGTGGCTGGGACTACAGGCATGCGCCACCATGCCCGGCTAACTTTTTCTATATATATTAGTTGGCCAATTAATTTCTTTCTATTTATAGTAGAGACGGGGTCTCGCTCTTGCTCAGGCTGGTTTCGAACTCCTGACCTCGAGCGATCCGCCCGCCTCGGCCTCCCAGAGTGCTAAGATTACAGGCGTGAGCCTCCGCACCTGGCCAATAGTTTTTATTAAAAAAAAAAAAAATTAAGGACATAATTCCCTGGCACTTCACTCAAGGGCAATGAGCTCGGTTGCTAGACACAGTCCTAAGGGAAGAGGCGGGGCGGGGGCAGGGTCTGGAGGGACAGTGGCCACACTCCCTTCCCCCCCATCCCTGTCCCCTGCCCCCCCCCAGGAGGAGTACGTCCAGGAGGGCATCCGCTGGACTCCCATCCAGTACTTCAACAACAAAGTCGTCTGCGACCTCATCGAGAACAAGCTGGTGAGGGCTGGGCCAACTTTGGGGAGGGGGGTGGGAGGTCTCACTGGGCCCCAGAGACCCGGGAGGGGGGTGATGGCAGTACCCAGACCCTCTCTCCCCAGCAGATGGGCCCCACTGAAACATCCCCTCAGCCACTGCATCCATCCATTCCGCCCACCTGCTCACCTTTCACTTAGTCACTCAACAAACGTTCCCCTTGGGCAAGCCCTGCTCAGAGTCAGAGGGGTCAAGGGCGCAGGTCCCCCACCGCCACCCTGAAAGGATTTCAGTCTTGGGAAAGGGGAAAGAGGCTTGGATCCCTTATGGGGTGGCCCCCACCCCCGCCTGCCCCTCCCCCACCCACCGTGACCTTTTGCACTCGTGTTTGGAAACTCCCTTCCCCACGCACGCACGCACGCACGCACGCACGCACGCACGCCTGGCGCTTTGCAGCCGGTGTGCCCGAGTGACGGCGAGCCCTGCGTGCTCCCCACGCCCCGCGCAGAGCCCGCCGGGCATCATGAGCGTTCTGGACGACGTGTGCGCCACCATGCACGCCACGGGCGGCGGCGCCGACCAGACGCTGCTGCAGAAGCTGCAGGCGGCCGTGGGCACCCACGAGCACTTCAACAGCTGGAGCGGCGGCTTCGTCATCCACCACTACGCCGGCAAGGTGGGCCCCCGCGCCCCGCGCCCCCCAGGGCGCCTCCTCCGCGACCCCAGGGCTCCCGGCCGCGGTCCCCAGCACCCAGACCGGAGAGAGCCTGCCGGGGACCCCCCCCCCCGCACACGCCAGCCAGGGCTGCAGACTCCCCCCGACCCCCGACGGCAACCCCCAGCCAGTGCCCTGACACAGCCCCCCAACTGGGCAGGACACGGAACCCCCACCGTCCCCGTCACCTCTGGCCCCGGCTGCCCCCTTCCAACCTCAACTTGAACTTCACACCTCCAGGGAGCCGGGCTCCCGACCCGCTGCTGGGGGGGACCTTAGACACCCCCCAGCCAGAGCCGCAGGTGCTCCCGGACCCTCTGACCCTGGAGCAAACCCCGCGGGACCCCCCCCCTCACCGGGCTCTAGGCACCGCGCCCCTCCCCCACCGGCCCACCCAGGCTCCCCCCCCCCCCCAGGTCTCCTACGACGTCAGCGGCTTCTGCGAGAGGAACAGAGACGTCCTCTTCTCCGACCTCATAGAGCTGATGCAGAGCAGCGAACAGTGAGTGGCCCCGGGTGTGGGGGCGGCGGGACGGGGACCACCGGGACCACCGCGTCCGCCCCAGAGCGCCACCCCACACCCACCCCCACCCCCGTGCTCGAGTTTCTCATTCCTAGGTCAGGACTGGGGCCCTGCAATGCCGAACAAGTTCCCAGAGGGTGCTGACTGCTGGCCCAGGGACCCCACTTTGAGAACCACTGCTCTCTAGTTCTGTACTTTCCAATATGGTGGAAACTGGGCCAGGAGTTCGAGACCAGCCTGGGCAACTGTAGGGAGAAAAAGAAACAAAAAAAAATGCTAAGTTGGTAAAAGGCTAGTTTTTTTATTTTTTTCTAACTTTCTTTTAATTGTGCTAAAATACACATACCATAACACTTATCCTTTTTTATTTTTTACTTTGTGGAGACAGGGTCTCATTCTGTCACCCAGGCTGGAGGGCAATGGCACAATCATAGCTCACTGCAACCTCCAACTCCCAGGCTCAAGTGATCCTCCTGCCTCAGTCTCCCCAGTAGCTGAGACTACAAGTGCACACCACCACACCCGGCTAATTTTGTGATTTTTTTATAGAGAAGGCGGGTCTCTATGGCCGGGCACGGTGGCTCACACCTGTAATCCTAGCACTCTGGGAGGCCAAGGCAGGCAGATTGCTCAAGGTCTGGAGTTCAAAACCAGCCTGAGCAAGAGCAAGACCCTGTCTCTACTATAAATAGAGAGAAACCAATTGGCCAGCTAACATATATAGAGAAAAAATTAGCCAGTCATGGTGGCACATGCCTGTAGTCCCAGCTACTCAGGAGGCTGAGGCAGGAGGATCACTTGAGTTTGAGGTTGCTGTGAGCTAGGCTGACGTCACGGCACTCACTCTAGCCTGGGCAACAGAGTGAGACTGTCTCAAAAAAAAAAAAAGAAAACCCTGATGGCAGACACTTAGGACCCTTCCCATCTTTGGCTGTCACACGCAGCTACAGCAGTGAGCGTCTCTGCACGTACTTCTCTGCACGCACGTGCCACCATGTACAGGTAGAGTGGCTCCCACCGAGGGGCCTTCCCCTGCTTCCTGAGATGCCGCGCCACTGATCTAATTTGCTGTGTTTACTGTGTCATTTAACTTTATTCTGTTGCACTTGCTATGTTACATGCACGACCTCAGAAGTTGTAAAAAAAAAAAAAAAGTGCATGTAAATTAAGGGACCAAAAGGACAAAACCAGCCCTCCTGGTCACCCCCATCACAGCACACGCCCCCACCCCCGCATTCAGAGGGAACAGTATTTGGCATCTTGCCACCCAGGCAGCCCCACCTCTGGGGGACGGAGCCTCAGGGTCTAGCTGCACGCCTAACCCCCCTCGCCCCGCCCCGCTTCCCCCGCCCAGCGCCTTCCTCCGGATGCTCTTTCCCGAAAAGCTGGATGTGGACAAGAAGGGCCGCCCCAGCACCGCGGGCTCCAAGATCAAGGTGGGCGCCGCCCCTCCCCCTCCCCTGCCCCAGGTGTCTGGACTCTGCTTCCCTCCTCGCCCCAGTGTCTGTCTGCGTCATCCTCTGTCCCACAGGGTCTTCCTCCCGCTCTGGGGCTGGGGGCTTGGACCAGCTTCCTTGAGGTCACCCCCAACTCCCAAACTCCAGAAGTCTACTGTCATTTTTTTTTTTAATCTTTTGGTTATTTGCCACTTTTTTTACAAGTTGTGGTAAAATATGCATGATGTGAAATTTGCCATCTTAACCATTTTTTTCCAGTGGCATTAATCACACTCACATTGCTGTCAACCGTCACCACCCTGCACCCCCAGAACTTTCTCGTCTTCCCAAACTGATGCTCTGTCCCCATGAAACTCTCGCTCCTCCCCACCCCCTCCCCGGCCCCTGGCACCCAGCACCCTGCTTCCTCTCTCTGTGGATCTGATGACTCTAGGGACCTCCTGGGAGCGGGACCACACGGGACTTGTCCTTCTGTGACTGGTTTATTTCATGGAGCAGGATGTCCTCAAGTTCACCCATGATGTCGCTGGTGTCAGAATTTCCTTCCTTTTCCGGGCGGAATAGTATTTCAGCGTGTGGACGGACCACGTTGTGTTTACCCGTCCGTCCGTGGACACTTGGGCTGCGTCCACCCTTTGGCTGTCGTTGCTGTGACTATGGGGGTCCCATTTTAATAACCACTTATTGAGCACTTACTCGGCGCTGGCAGTGAACACGGGACACTTTACACACGTGAGGGATCAACTTAGCCCGACCAGGAAGATGGGGGCACCAAGGCTCACTTGACGCTCTCCCCAGTGTCGCCCCCTGGAATGACTCCTTTTCTGGTCTCCCTCCTGCCCCGAGCGACTGCGATGCACACCCCAAGGCTGACCTCTCAGGGACACGTGCACACGTGCACCGCCAAAGTGCCCATCTCCCAAAGGACGGGCGGGAATGTTCTCCCGAGCGCTCTGTTACTCGGTGGATCACCGTTTCCTGAGCACATACTATGCGCCCGGCTAAGTGGCCAGGGTGGCACCCTCCAGCACTCCCCCAACGTCAGTCCCATGGCCGTGCACCAGTGGGGCAGGCACAGCCCCAGGGGACCCCTGTGGTTCATCAGCTGCCAGTCCCCGCCCACCCCTTGCGGCTGGATCCAAGGTGGGGAGAAGGGAGGGGCCCACCCGTGTGTCCCCCGTCTTGTCCTCCGCCTCAGAAACAAGCCAACGACCTGGTGACCACCCTGAAGCGCTGCACGCCCCACTACATCCGCTGCATCAAGCCCAACGAGACCAAGAGGCCGAGGGACTGGGAGGAGAACAGGTGACAGCCCCCCACTGCCTGCCCCAGGCTGATCCCCCTGCAAGATCCAGCTGAGACCGGCTCAGGCTGAGCCCGGGATCCCCACAAAACCCCTCAGTGCCCTAGGGTGCCCCTGGAACGGACCGAGACGTCCCCAACCGCCAACCTCCGGGAACTAGCACAGCCCCCAGCTCCCCAGGCCCCACCTCCAGAACCGACTCCCACCTGAGCCCTGGAGCACCCCCAGACCTCAGAACTCAGCCCTGCAACCCCCAGGCCCCGCCTCCAGAACCGACTCCCACCTGAGCCCTGGAGCACCCCCAGACCTCAGAACTCAGCCCTGCAACCCCCAGGCCCCGCCTCCAGCACCTCCCAGCCCCCAGGCCAGGCGAGACCCTGCTGCGGGGACTCAGGCTGTCCCTCCCGCAGGGTCAAGCACCAGGTGGAGTACCTGGGACTCAAGGAGAACATCAGGGTGCGCAGGGCTGGCTTCGCCTACCGCCGCCAGTTCTCCAAGTTCCTGCAGAGGTGAGGCCCTGGCCCCGCCCCGCCCCGCCCCTCCCCACAGTGACCAGCCGCCCCATCTGCTCCCAAGCCTCGCACGCCCTTGCCCTCTGCCACCAGGTATGCCATCCTGACCCCCGAGACGTGGCCGCGGTGGCGTGGGGACGAACGTCAGGGTGTCCAGCACCTGCTTCGGGCGGTCAACATGGAACCCGACCAGTACCAGATGGGCAGCACCAAGGTGTTCGTCAAGAACCCGGAGTCGGTAAGAGTCTCCGTGAGGCAGAGGCAGGAGAGGAGAGAGAAAGGGACACAGATTGAGAGGCCAGCGTGGTGGCTCACGCCTGTAATAGCAGCACTCTGGGAGGCCAAGGAAGATCGCCTGAGGTCGGGAGTTTGAGACCAGCCTCAGCAAGAGTGAGAGCCCGGTCTCTACTAAAAACAGAAAGAAATTAGATGGGCAACTGAAAATAGAAAAAATGAACTGGGTGTGGTGGTGCATGCCTGTCGTTCCAGCTACTTGGGAGGCTGAGGCAGGAGGCTCGCTTGAGCCCAGGAGTTGCAGTGAGCTATGATGACGCCACTGCACTCCAGTCTGGGCAACAGAAGGAGACCCCGTCTCCAAAAAAGAGGAAAAATAATCCTCAAGTGTCTCACCTGCCTGTTGGCCTTTATGACCCATACCCCCAGGTGTACTTGTTTGCCAGGGCCGCTATGACAAAGTACTACAAACTGGATGGCTCCACACGATGTCAAGTTTATTCCCTCGTTGTTCTGGAGGCCACAAGTCCAAACTCCATGTGTCCGCAGGGCCACACTGTCTCTGAAGGCTCCAAGAATCCCTCTTTGCCATTCTCTAACTTTCTTTTTTGAGACAGAGTCTCACTCTGTCACCTGGGTTAGAGTACTGTGGCGTCAGCCTAGCTCACTGCAGCCTCCAACTTCTGGGCTCAAGCGATCCTCTTGCCTCAGCCTCCCGAGTAGCTTGGACTACAGGCATGCGCCACCATGCCCAGCTAATTTTTTTATATTTTTAGTAGAGTCAGGGTCTTGCTCTTGCTGAGGCTGGTCTCAAACTCCTGACCTCAAGCAATTCTCCTGCCTTGGCCTCCCAGAGTGCCGGGATTACAGGCATGAGCCACCGTGCCTAGCCGACCTTCTCTCTGTGTTATCCCGGTCCACAAATTTCCCTCTTCTTACAGACACCACATTAGATTGGATTTATATTGGATTTAGGGTCCACCCTAAGGCAGTATGGCCTCATTTTAACTTGATTGCGTCTGCAAAGACCCTGTTTCCAAGTAAGGTCCCATTCACAGGTTCCGGGTGGGCATGACTTGCAGGGGACACCATTCAATCCAGTATACCCAGGATGAGCTCAGATTTATGTAGGTCTCCTGCCCCTTAAGCTCGCAAAACCCAGCCCCCCATAGCAAGAAGGAGATGCATTTTCAACTCTTTAGACAATGAAGATTAATTTCCCAAATTGAAAACAGATCCTCTTCACTGGGCAGAAATAACCTCTCAGTGCATTTATGACATGTCCAGCCGTGCTACTGTGTTCCCCTGAAAATAAGACCTACCCATAAAATAAGCCCTAGCAGGATTTCTAAGCGTTTGCACAATAGAAGCCCTACCCCGAAAATAAGACCTAGTGATGGGCGTGGCTACACAGCACATCTGCACAACCCATGCATTTCGTCCCAGAGCGGTCAAGAAGACGAGCAGCCCTTCCCATCTGCCCCATGAGAGCTCTACTGCTCGACATGAGAGATCGGGGCCCATGGTTCTAAAGGAAATAGAGTCACAAGAAATTCAGGATGGAATTCGGGGTCTGGAGAGTTATGATGATGTTCCAGAAGATGACGACTTAACTATATTTGAATAAATGTAGATTGTTGTACCATACTTAAAAAAAAAACACATCCCCTGAAAATAAGCCCTAGGGTGTCTTCTTGAGGAAAAATAAATATAAGACCCTGTCTTATTTTCGGGGAAACGCGGGCGGCATGTGCAGCCCTGCCCACGGACTCACAGAATGCTGCTCTGAGAAACAGAAGATACAGCCTCGGCTCAGCTCCCTGCAGCCTACGACACTGCAATGCTATTTTTTTTTCTTCCTGGTGGGACAACTTCCTACTTTTTAGAAATAGTTATAAACCCCTACAGCTTTGAACGTCCTCTAAGATCCAGTCTGAGGAAGAGCGAGACCCCATTTCTACTAAAAATAGAAAGAAATTAATTGGCCAACTAAAAATATATAGAAAAAAAAAAAATTAGCCGAGCATGGTGGCGCATGCCTGTAGTCCCAGCTACTCGGGAGGCTGAGGCAGGAGGATCGCTTGAGCCCAGGAGTTTGAGGTTGCTGTGAGCGAGGCTGATGCCACGGCACTCCAGCCGGGGCAACAGGGTGAGAGTCTTATCTCAAAAAAAAAAAAAAAAAAGGAAAGAAAAAAAAGTCCTCTAAGATACACATTTTTAAATGTATTTGAACCAAGCATCTCCAGAATTCTTGCAAGGAGCCCTTAATGTTGCTTGGAGACATCAGTTTGAAAACCACGTTGGTGAGAAAAGCAGGCAGCGGGGCTCTTAGCAGCAAAGTGGTATTTAAGTACTTGAGAAATCCCTCCGGGCGAAATGCTGATTATTTTTCTAAATTAAAGCCCAATTTTATGTTCAGTAATACTTCCCATCTTCACTGAATGACGATGCTGTTGCTTTTATCCCTGAATTTCTGTTTGAATTAGGATGTTTCCCAGGCATCTGCCCTATTCTAATTGATTGTTCTATTCTCTGGCCAGCACTTCATTGTTTTTATTACTATAGATTTGTAATATTTATATATATATATTTTTTTTTAGTTAGCCAATTAATTTCTATTTATAGTAGAGACAGGGTCTCGCTCTTGCTCAGGCTGATCTCGAACTCCTGACCTTGAGCAATCCACCCACCTTGAGCAATCCCAGAGTGCTAGGATTACAGGCGTGAGCCACCGCCACGCACAGCTGATTTGTAATATTTTAATATCCAATAGGTCCCTCTCTTTGTTCATTTGTATCAAATACAAATGAACAGACATTCTTCACAGCATTTCCACTTTGGCTTGTTCTATGTAATTTATCCTCTGAGTCCCCTCTGGCCCTGGGCTTTTTCTCTGCTTTCTGCAAAAGCTTCCTTTCTGGGGCTGCCATGTATGGATGTGCAGGTTGTACACTGCACAAGCACTGATTGCCAGTCACATCAGAGTCCTATATATCAGATTTTCATATTTACTGTATTTTATTGGTTTTCAAAGATGCATACTGGTTCTCATTTCTACCACGTCTGAAATCGAGGTGCACCTTACATGGATGGCGTGTATTAGCTTCGTTAGCAGTGTGAGAAACCATGATGTTACACTGTTTCTGGCACAGCCACACAGCCAAGAAGCGGCAGAGCTGGGATTTGAAGCCAGAGAGACAAACCCGCCGCTATAATTTAATGCAGAAATGTGTACCCCATTTTGGAAGGGTACCCCAGGTCCAGTCATTTTGAAGCAGAAAGAAAAAAAATTGACCACACGTGTGGGGTGTGTGCGCAAAAGCACGTGAGTGGGGTGGGCGCCCAGGGGAAACCAGGGACTGCAGCCCCTGGGGGGGGCACCGCCCAACCCACCGCCCAACCTCTTGCCCAGCTTTTCCTCCTGGAGGAGATGCGAGAGCGAAAGTTCGACGGCTTCGCCCGCACCATCCAGAAGGCCTGGCGGCGCCACGTGGCAGTCCGGAAGTACGAAGAGATGCGAGAGGAAGGTGAGAGGCTCCGTCCAGGTGGGAGGCTCAGGGTTGGGACAGACAGGCCTGGAGAAGTCTCCACCCTGTGTCCCCACCCCGTGTCCCCACAGCTTGCAACATCCTGCTCAACAAGAAGGAGCGGAGGAGGAACAGCATCAACCGGAACTTCGTTGGGGACTACCTGGGGCTGGAGGAGCGGCCGGAACTGCGCCAGTTCCTGGGCAAGAGGGAGCGGGTGGACTTTGCCGACTCGGTCACCAAGTATGACCGTCGCTTCAAGGTGAGGCGCTAGTGGGTGGGCACACGCAAGGCCCCTGCTCCAGCCCGGCACCCACACCAGAGATACACCCTCACCTGGCCCAGATGTACCTTGTCCACAGGTACATAATGCCCCAGCCTGGATCCCATGACAGATACAGTCTCACCTGGCAGACATACCTGCCCACAGGTGCACAGTAGATACAGCTGCCCATCAAACATGCCCCCATTAGCCCAGACATACCTGTCCATCAGATACCCCCTCACCTGGCCAGACACCTCTGTCCATGATTCACGCATTCACCTTGCCTAGAAGCCCTGACCACAGGCCACCCTCGTCTGTCCTGGACATACCTATCCATTAGGTACACACTCTCACCCAGGCTAGAACACCTGTCAATTAGATAGACCTTCACATGGCCCAGGTACACCTGTCCACAGGTGCACTGTCACCTGACCCAGGCAGCTTAGTCTATAGGCACATGCCCAACTGGCCCAGAGAGCCCTGACCAGGTGCATACTCCCAACCTGGTCCAGACACCTCTGTCCACAGGGAGGTACCACGTGACCTGTGCATTCACACTTGGCCTAAACAGCTGGGCACCACAGATACATCTAATCACCTAGCCCGGACATTCCTGTCCACCGGTATACCCTCACCTGGCCTGTGCGCTCTCCACTGGGCCAGACATTCCTGTCCAGCACATACACTCTCACTTGGCCCTTCCCACATCTCATGTTCCAGACACTGCCATCTAGCCCAGAAACTCGCCCTACCCCCACAGGCACGGCTCGGCGGACTTCCATATATATTCACACTTCCACCAGGTACACCCTCACCCGCCTTCTAAACCATACAGGCCAGACACGCACCTGCTGCTTACTACCTCTCATGACCCAGAGGTCTTATCTAGCTCCCTGACTTGCACACCTTCACCTGAACCATAATACCTTTACCTTAGCTGGCTAGTCATATGACCCAAGCACTTTCACCTGGTCCAAGGGCCCTCACCTGGCCCAGACACTTGTGTCCAGCCAATGCTCCACCTACCCAGTACCTGTTCACTGGTCCAGACACCCCTTTCTAGCCAATACAGCCTCACATGACCTCTTTCTATTTTTTATATAACTTAACAACTCATACACCTTCACCTGGAGGGACACCCTCACTCACCTGACCTGGACACCTTCCCCTGACCTGCCAGCACTGCCCCTCTGCCTGGGGTTGACCCCCTGGGGCCAGAGCTCCAGCCACCAGCCTCTGGCCTTGCATCCTCACAGCCCATCAAACGGGACTTGATCCTGACACCCAAGTGCGTGTATGTGATTGGGCGAGAGAAGGTGAAGAAGGGACCCGAGAAGGGCCAGGTGCGTGAAGTCTTGAAAAAGAAATTGGAGATCCAGGCCCTGCGGGGAGTCTCCCTCAGGTGAGGCCAGGCCGCTACCTGCCCCACAGTCACCCTCTCCTGTCCCCTTGTGATCACAGCTGCCCTCATTTCTGTTATCCCACCTCTTAATCTGACAACCTTACCTGCTGCTATACCTGCAGGAGTCTCCTGGTCCTACCTGTCACGCTCACCTGTCCCGACACTCATGATCCTTACTGCCAACAGTGTCAGTCCCCACACCTTACCCTCCTCCTACCACACCTCACCTGGCCTTGCCACCTTCCTTCCCCTGCTCCCCCGACCTGTGTCGCACCCTTACGTGGCACTATCCCCTTGCGTCTATCTCAGAAGTCCGTTCTCCGGCCTGCCTCCCCTGTCGCTCTCACCGGCCTTTCCTCCCGCCCCTCCCCAGCACGCGGCAGGACGACTTCTTCATCCTGCAAGAGGACGCCGCCGACAGCTTCCTGGAGAGCGTCTTCAAGACCGAGTTCGTCAGCCTGCTGTGCAAGCGCTTCGAGGAGGCGGCGCGGAGGCCCCTGCCTCTCACCTTCGGCGACACGTACGGGCCCCGCCCCAGCACAGAGTCCCCCTCGCCCACCCTCCGGACCCCGCAGCCCAGGGGGACCCCCGCGGGCGCCCCCAAGCTTTCTCCTCTCCCCACAGACTACAGTTCCGGGTGAAGAAGGAAGGCTGGGGCGGAGGCGGCACCCGCAGCATCACCTTCACCCGCGGCTCTGGCGAGGTGCCGGTGCTCAAGGCCGGCGGCCGAACCCTCACGGTCAGCGTGGGGGACGGGCTGCCCAAGAGCTCCAGTGAGTCTGCGCGGAACTGGGAGGCGAAGGGGCTGTCGGGAAAAGACGGGCGCTGGGGAAGGCGGGGCCAGAGAGGGAACCAATCAAGGCTGTGAGGGCGGGGCCAGTGGGGGCTGCTCAAGAGTGGGGCCATAGAGTGGCGGATCTAGAGAGACTCGTAAAGCGAGGACGCGGCTTTGGAGCGGTGACCAATGAGTGGGCTAGAAACGAGGAGGGGCGTGGCCAGAGAAGGAACCCTGGAACCGGCTAATGAATGAGAGCGTATCCTGGAGTGGGCGGGCCCAGGGAGCCGGGGACTGTGAGTAGTAAGGTCTGGGGGCGGGACCAATTACTGGGCGGAGCCAGTGTGCCAAAGGTGCGGATGGGCGAGCCAATGGTGCTAAGGGGGCGGGGTCTGGAGGCGGAGCCACAGAGTAGACTGGGCTTGTGGGCGGGGCCAAGAGCCTGGTCTGGCCGCCACTCAAACCCCTACATCCTTTCCCCTTCCAGAGCCTACGCGGAAGGGAATGGCCCAGAGAAGACCCCGAGGGTCGGCCCCCGCCCCTACCCGGGCGGCTCCCGGGCCCCCCAGAGGTGAGGAGACGCCCCTCACTAATTGTCACTCTAGCGGGCTCCAGCTGTCCAGTCAACGGAATCCAACAAGCACAAATGACCACTCTCTTCTCTGTCCATAGCTTCAGCTCTCCTGCAGAATAAAGGCTGAGCTTAGTTTGGCGTCAGACTCCTTCCAAATCCAACCCTTGCTAACCCCTGACCTCTTCTCTCCTCCCACCCTATGCTCCTGTCACGCAAACTACACCTTATTTTGCCAACTCACCAAGGTTATTCTTACCTTCAGGCCTTTGCTTGGTGCTGTCTTCTCTGCCTGTCTCCTAAACTGCCACTCCATTTCTTGAGCTCTTATTCATCCTTTAAGACCCACCCACAAAAGCCCTTCTACAGAGGAGGGGAAGGGGAAACTTCCCCCTGCAAAGCCTCCCTCCCACTGCCCCCCCACTGGGGCCTCTCCCTCTGGCCCAGCCACCCCTTACCACACTGGGTTGAGAGTGTGGCTGCCTCCTCCCCCAGACTGGGAGCCTGGAATCGAGTCCTCCTCAGATGTTCCTAGCATCACCCCGACAAATGCTCTCATCCTTGCTCCTGCCACAGGCTTGGACCGCAATGGGGTGCCCCCCTCTGCCAGAAGGGGCCCCCTGCCCCTGGAGATCACATCTGGAGGGGGCTCCCGGAGGCCTCCCCAGGCCCTTCCGTCCTCAAACCTGGGGGCCAGCAGACGCCAGAGGGCACAGCAGCCCTCACAGCGCAACACAGAATTCCTCAATGTGCCTGACCAGGGCATGGCCGGGTAGGTGGGGTGGGAGGGCAGCCCCAGGAGGTGGGCAGGGGATAGGGGAATGAGTGCCCACATCCCCTGTGCCCACAGCATGCAGAGGAAGCTCAGCGTGGGGCAGCGACCCGTCCCCGGCGTGGGCCGACCCAAGCCCCAGCCTCGGACACATGGCCCCAGGTGCCGGGCACTTTACCAATATGTGGGCCAAGATGTGGATGAGCTGAGCTTCAATGTGAACGAAGTCATCGAGATCCTCATGGAAGGTGTGTGGACCAGGGCAGAGGTTGGGGTGAGGGGCGTCGTCAGAACCCTGCTGCAGCCACGCAGCCCCATCGATGCACCGGGGGAACAAAGATGACCAGCTCCCAGCCCGCCCCCCGGCAGAGATGCACTCTTCCATGCCAGCGGCTGCATAGGCTAGGTGGCCCTGGCCCTGGAGGCCACCTCCTAAGCCATCCTGGGGGTCAGGCCTCATTTTTCTCATCTGTCAAATATGAGGCTTATAGCAGAACGAGCCTCAAAATCCCTTATGAGTAGGAGAGGTGTCACAGCTGGATGGCCCAAGCCACCTCCTACTTCAGTCTCCAAGGGGTCCAGAGACTCTGCTATTGGACCTGGAGCCCTGTGAGGGTCAAGAAGACCTGGTCACGCCTAAGGGAGAGGGGGCTGTAGAAGGAGGTAGAAGAGGGAAGAACACATGCAAATGTTCTAGAAGGTGACAGTGTGAGCCGATGGCTGGGAAAGACCACGTGTCCCTCCCTCTCTCCACCCAGCCCTTCCTTCCTTCCACCTGTTCGGCCACTGCCCTGTGCCAGGTCAGGAGCATGGAGATGAAGAGGACAGACAACAGAGCGGGCATGAGGGCTTTCTCCAGGGCCAGCTGGGCACCCTCTCAAGCTCTCTTCTCTCCCACAGACCCCTCGGGCTGGTGGAAGGGCCGGCTGCACGGCCAAGAGGGCCTCTTCCCCGGAAACTACGTGGAGAAGATCTGAGCTGGGGACCTGGGATTCTGCCCTCCCGCACGCCCGCCCACCTGCCAGGGAGCCAGGCCCTGCCTTCAGGAGCCTCGTTTATCATGGCTGCGTTCGCCTGAAAGTCCAGTCCTGTGGCATCCAGCCCAGCCCAGGCCCTCCCCAGGGCCCCGGTCTCACCAACGTCACACCCATTGCCCAAGTCTCCGTGTCTTCACGTGTTCAAACGGAGCTACCAGCAGAATCTACCTCCCAGCTGCTCTGTGATTATGAAATGAATCGTGTCCTGCGCTGTTGGCAAAGTGCCAAGCACAGTCGGGGGGTGTCCTGGACAAGCGTGACTTTGCTCCTTTTCTCGTCACTGAGGCAATAAACGTTTGCCGGGTGAAAGCGTGAGTTAGCCTGAGTGCCTGGCGACACTCTCACAACCCTGTGAGGCAGGAAGCACGAATGTTCCCATTTCACAGGTGGAAACATGGTCAGGACTTAATGTGACATTTGATGGCCCAGGACGGACATCCTCAGCCCCTCAGAAAGAAGACAGTTTGGGAGAGAAGGAGACAGACTGGTGGGGACAGGAGCAGGGGCTCAGCACTGAGCTAGAGAAGGGACAGCCCCTTTTGGTGCTCAACAGCCCTTTTTATGGTCAATCATTATGTGGATGGAGAAAAATCCTAACTCTGAAATCATTTAAAGAGATTTATTCTGAGCTGAATGTGTGCATCCAAATCCTGGGGCAGAGGGTGGGGGTGACGTTCTCAAGATGTCTTGAGAAAATGCAACCGAGGGGGTTGGATTACAGTTCAGTTTTACACATTCATGGGGACAGGAATTACAGGTAAAATCATAAATCAATACATGGAAGGTGTACATCGGTGTGGCCCAAAAAGGCTGGACATCTCAAAACAGGAGCTTACATGTCGTAGGTGGGGTTTTTTTGTTGTTTTTTTTTTTGAGACGGAGTCTCACTGTTGCCGGGGCTAGAGTGCCGTGGCATCAGCCTAGCTCACAGCAACCTCCAACTCCTGGGCTCAAGCAATCCTCCTGCCTCAGCCTCCCAAGTAGCTGGGACTATAGGCATGCACCACCATGCCCGGTTAATTTTTGATATATATAATTAGTTGGCCAATTAATTTCTTTCTATTTTTTTATAGTAGAGACAGAGTCTCGCTCAGGCTGGTATTGAACTCCTGACCTTGAGCAATCCACCCGCCTCGGCCTCCCAGAGTGCTAGGATTACAGGCGTGAGCCACCGCGCCAGGCCCATAGGTGGGTTTTAAGGAGTCTTTAGTTGACAATTGGTTGATAAAGTTTTGGAGTCAGTGGAAGGGAATGCTTAAGATAGGGGTGTGGGACCAGTGTGGTGGCTCATGCCTGTAATCATAGCACTTTGGGAGACTGAGGCGGAAGGATCACTTGAGGCCAGGAGTCCAAGACCAGCCTGAGCAAGCGTGAGATCCCATCTCTACAAAAAATAGAAAAATTAGGGTGTGGTGATGCATGTGCCTTGTAGTCCCAGCTACTCGGGAGGCTGAGGCAGGAGGATGGCTTGAGCCCAGGAGTGGGAGGTTACAGTGAGCTGTGAGGATGCCACTGCACTCCAGCCCAGCATGACAGAGTAAGACCCTGTCTCAAATAAAAGAGTCAGGCTGGTCTTGAACTCCTGGCCTCAAGCGATCCTCCCATCTTAGCCTCCCAAAGTGCTCAGATTACAGGTGTGAGCCACCGTGCCTGGCTGTGTTCAGCGTATTCTCATGGGCAGTGTCTCCTATGGAGGTTACGGACATCTTCAGACTGCCAGCCTCAGTCACCTCAGCCCCTCCCACTCCTCAGGCCCACATCCTGTTGACTCTTTCACAAAATTTCTTAAGACTTGTCCCTTCTCTGTCTTCCTGGGGTTCCTGTCCATTCTGCTGCCTCTCCCCATCCTTCCCTAAATTGCACCAGCCCCACCTGCACACACACCCCCCTCTCCACCCTGTATCAAAATGATCTTTGGTTTTGTTTTTTAAAGCAAATAAATCTTTAACTGACTGTATGATAATGAAAAGAAAAAATGTAAATTCAAGCAACACAAACGTGTAAAAAGTCTCCTCGTCAAACATCCCTGTTCCAGCCAGGCAGGGTGGCTCGAGCATACCTGTAATACCAGCACTTTGGGAGGCTGAGGCAGGAGGATCACTTGAGCCCAGGAGTTTGAGACCAGCATGGGCAACATAGCAAGATCCCATCTCTCAAAAAAATTTAAAAATTAGCTGGGCGTGGCGGTGCATGCCTGTGGCCCTGGCTACTTGGGAGGCTGAGGCAGGAGGATCGCTTGAGGCCAGGAATTCAAGGCTGCAGTGAGCTATGATGATACCACTGAATTCCAGCGTGGGCGGCAGTGCCAAAGCCTGTCTCTTAAGATAAAACAAAATCCCTCTTCCCTTCCCCAGTTTCTTAATGTCTCCTTCGAAGGGTATTCTCTACCCATAGGTACATCTCATTTCACAGATGAAAATACACTGCACACAAAGTCTACACTTCTAGAATACAACGAACACCTCTTGAATGGTTGAATAATGCATAAGATCTGAGATGTACATTACCATTCTCCCAACAGCCCAGCCTCCATATGACTGCCAGGGATCAGGTGGTGCACCTCCCTGTGCTAAAAACTCATCAGTGGTTACGACACTGAAACCAGCACTCCCTCTCTCCACCACCCACAAAGCCCTGCATGACCTGCCCTGCACCATATTCACTTTTTGACCTCCCCAACCCGATTTCACTCTGTTCCAGCAGCTCGCTGGTCTCCTCTCTGCTGCTTGACAAAGACAAGCCCTGTCCTACCCCCACCCAGGACATTTGCATCAGCAATCCCTACAGCCCTCTGCTCCCCTGACCTTCCACCGGCTCACGCCTCGATGACCACAGGCAACAGCTCAGAAGTCACCTCACTAGAGCTCAGAAGAGAGGCTTCCGTGACGAATCAACATGGCATCCTTCTGTTTTCTCCTTTGCCCTGAATTGTTGATTTATTATCTGTTTCCCCATTTTATTTTCTTATTAATTTATTTACAGACAGGGTTTCCTTCTGTCATCCAGGCTGGAGTGCAGTGGTGTCATCATAGCTCACTGAAGCCTCGAACTCCTGGGCTCAAGCCATCCTCCTGCCTCAGCCTTTCCAGTAGCTGGGACTACAGGCTTGCACCACCATGCCCGGCTGAGTTTTTAAATTTTTTATAGAGATGGTGTCCCGCTATGCTGCCCAGGCTGGTCTCAAACTCCCGGCCTCAAGCGATCCTCCCACCTCAGCCTCCCAAAGTGCTGGGATTACAGGTGTGAGCCACCTTGCAGGGCCTGTTTTCCCATATTGAAATGTGAGCATGCCCCGAAGACAGGGATTGTTCTTTGTCCTGTTCACTGTGGGTCCGCAGCCCCTAGACCAGCGCCTAGCACACAGGAGAGCCACCTCCGAGAAGCACAGCTCTCCAACCTGAGCCTACACCCCTTTATTAAGCCTGAGGACTGACAGTCTGTTTTCCGCCCTTGGCTATTACAATGGACTCGTTCCAACTGCAGAACTAGGTGCACTGACAATTTTAATAAATGTTGCCAATTTCCCTCCAAAGAGACGACCCAATCCAGCAGAAAGACAACTACTGTCAATCGCCCCTCCAGAGCTGGAGAAGGGACGGGGCGGGAGGGGATGAAGGTGCCCATTTTGCAGACGAGGACACCGAGGCCCGGAGAGATCCCTCCTCCAGGATCTGTGCGCACGGACCCCGTGGAAGGCACGCTGTGTCACTGCCCTCGGCTTGCACGTCCACAACACCCCAGTCCAAGCCACCGGCCTGGCCAACCCGGGCCCCGCCCCCTCACGGAGCGCGCCGCGCAGGCCCCGCCCCCTTTCTCGCGAGAGCCGGGAGGCGGAAAATGGCGCCGACGTGAGCGCGAGCCCGCATCTCCGAGAGGGTACTCTCCGCCTCGATCGGAGCCGCCGGAGCCACCGGAACAAGAGGCCGAGCTGAGTGGAGGATGGTGAGCGCGGGGGCGCGGGCGCGGGCGCGGCGGAGCAGCTGGGACTGGCGGGGAGCGGCCCTGTAGCGCACACACCCTCCGGCCGACCCCGCCCCCACATCCGGGCACCCGCCCGCCGCGGGCTGTCACTCGGCGAGCGCCCTACCCCTACTTCCGGGCCCGGCTTCGACTGGGCCACGCCCACCAGACGCGGGCTCCGCCCCTAAATTTTACACCTCCGGGCCCCGAGGATCTCCAAGATCGTCTACACAGCTCGAGGCCGCCTGTTATATCTCGGTCCTCAAATAATCCATTTCTGGCCGGGCGCTGTGGCTCACGCCTGTAATCCTAGCTCTTGGGAGGCCGAGGCGGGCGGATTGCTCAAGGTCAGGAGTTCAAAACCAGCCTGAGCAAGAGCGAGACCCCGTCTCTACTATAAATAGAAAGAAATTAATTGGCCAACTGATATGTATATAAAAAAAATTAGCCGGGCATGGTGGCGCATGCCTGTAGTCCCAGCTACCCGGGAGGCTGAGGCAGAAGGATCACTCGAGCCCAGGAGTCTGAGGTTGCTGTGAGCTAGGCTGACGCCACGGCACTCACTCTAGCCTGGGCAACAAAGCGAGACTCTGTCTCAAAAAAAAAAAAAAAAAAAAATAATCCATTTCTGGCCCCTCCACTGTCTTCCTAGCCGCGCCCGGTCGAGAGCCCCGCCCTCCTAGCCTACGACCCCGCCCACTCCATCTAGGCCACGCCCCTGTCACGTTTGGGACCTCCCACCTGCCCAAATTGGGGGCGAAAGGATACTTCTCATATGCGTAATTAGCTCAATCCACCCTTACCCCATTTGCCCTCTCTTGCTTGTGATTTATTAGTGCCAACAGAAAAAGCCAAATTCTGTAAAATGATTTTAAAGAGATTTATTCTGAGCCAAATTTGAGGACCATGACCCAGAGCCCTGCCCAAGAAGCCTTGAGCATGTGGACAGATTGGTTTTATACATTTCAGGGAGACAGGGGTTATTGGTAATGTCATAAATCAATATGTGGGAGACACACATTGGTTTGGCCCAAAAAGGATAGGAGATCTCCATGCAGGAGCTTACAGGTTATAGGTGGGTTTAAAGATTCTTTGACTTGTAATTGGTTAAAGACAGGAAGCTTTGTCTAAAGTCTTGGAATGTTTTAACATAAGGAGCTATTTATCAGAGATAAGCCACTGGACACACACTTGTCTAAATTGAGGACCTGAGGTTTGTCTTGCATACCCTCAGGCCTGTTAATGGGTTACAAAGGATGTCCCCAAGAAGGGAGGGGGCATGATGAGGCATGTCTGACCTTCCTCCTTGTGGCAGGCAAATTAGTTTTAGGATATTCCTTTAGCCAAGACGGGGTTCATTCGGTCAGCTGGAGGGGGGTGAGCCTTAAGATTTTATTTTAGTTCACCTTAGGATGGGTACTGACTGGGTCATGGGGGTGGGAGGAATGTTGAGCCCATTCAGCAGATCCTGGCGGAGTGGGAGCAGTTCCCTGACTGACCCAGGCAGACCCTGAGCCCAGAAAGGTTCTCCCCACCTCTTCCTTCCACCAGGAGGAGGAACCCTCGGGGCCCAGCCCGGAAATGCTGGCCACCGAAGAGCCCAACTCCAGTGAGACGGACAAGGAGGTGTTGTCCCCAGTTGTGGCTGCTGTAGCCACCTCCTGCTCCATGGCAGAGGAGTCAGGCCCCGACCAGGCAGCCACATCCCCAGCGTGGGACCGTGGGGGGCCTGGAGGGACACAGCAGGGTGCCTCCCCAGCCCCAGACACCTGCCAGCCTGGCCCTGGACCCAGCCCTGGTGCCACCAGCACAGCATCTGCGACCAGCGAGGACCTGCGGCCTCCCAGACGGCGCCCACCACCAGGTGACCTGTGACGGGGCCTTCTGGGGAGTCACAGGCCCTGCAACAATGAGGAGTACAGAGTCTCTTCAAACTTGGGCCCATCTAGAGGGATGTCACTCAATTACTGAGCAAAAAGTGTATGTCAGGCTGTGGCTCCAGTGATGAGCCTGACCAGTCCAGTCCCTGCCCTGTGGCAGATCAGTCTGTTGGGGAAGGGTGAGAGTAAAAGCCCTAGCAGGAAACCAGCAGGGTGATTCCAGATCATATATGATAGATTTCATAATCCAGCAGGGTATTCCTAGCACCATATATATGCTGCTCTGGGGCAGAGCCCTGGAGATGGGGGGGCAGCTTCGTTCGGGAAGGGACCAGTGACCCTCATTCTGTGCATTTTGCAGGAAAGCAAATACCTTGCTCCAGCCCTGGCTGCTGCCTCAGTTTCCCCAGTGTTCGTGACCTAGCACAGCATCTGCGAACCCACTGCCCGCCCACACAGTCCCTGGAAGGTAGGGACAGCCCAGGTGGTGAGGAAGCTGGTTAGGGTGGGAGGCGGGCAGAATCTCCCAACCCCACTCCTCTGTCCTTCATCCATGCCAGGCAAGCTCTTCCGCTGCTCAGCCCTGAGCTGCACGGAGACCTTCCCCAGCATGCAGGACCTGGTGGCGCATGGCAAGCTGCATTACAAGCCCAACCGCTACTTCAAGTGAGACCCTGACCAGCCCCGACGTCCAGCCTGTCCCTGCCCTACCCCATGTGTGGGGTCTGGGCCATCCGAGGCAGGGTGCAGAGGGGTGGGGTCCCATCTGGAGGTGGGCGTGGCCTCGAGCAAGCCCTGCCCTTACCCAGTTGAAGGAGAGACTGGTACCTAGAGCCGGACAGAGCGCCGAAGGGGCGGGGCCTACAGGGGTGTGGCTCCAACCAGCCGTGCTGTACCTCCCAAGTGGAAAACCGGCCACCTAAGTTAAAATAGAGACTTCCTCCTGCGTTTTCCCAGGGCTCCGACCCAAAGGGGTCCGGAAGGGTCGAGGCCATAATTGTTGGGGGCGGGGGGCTCAGGCAATTTCCTTCCCCGTAGGTAGGGAAGCCTCCATCGCAGGTGGAGAAGCCGCCACTGGCGAATTGGGTCCAGGCTGTCTTCCCACGCTCGAAGGGCGGGTCCCCAGGTGTCATCGGATAGGCCCTACCTTGTCGCCCAGGAGGCCCAGCCCAACCCTTTGCCCACCCTCAGGTGTGAGAACTGCCTCCTGCGCTTCCGCACGCACCGCTCTCTCTTCAAACATCTGCATGTTTGCGCGGAGCATGCGCAGAGCCCAGCCCCGCCGCCACCCCCAGCCCTGGAAAAGGAGCCACCTGCGCCTGAGCGCCCCCCGGAGTCCGACCCTGCGTCGGCGGCGCAGGGCCTGCAGTTCCCGCTGCTCGAGCCCTTCACGACCCCTGCCCCTGCCCCCGCGCCCACTGGGCCCTTCCTGCCTTATTTGAACCCCACGCCCTTTGGCCTAAGCCCCCCACGCCTGCGCCACTTCCTGGCCACCTCTCCCGGGCCGCCGGCCTCCAGCGCCGCCGTCTGGAAAAAGAGCCAAGGTGAGTGTGGGGGCGGAGCCGCCTGAGGGGGCGGGCTGGCCTCGCCCTGACTCTGACCTTGACCCGCCCCTTCACCGCAGGTGCTGGAAGCAGCCCTCGAAGACCCCAGGGCGGCTCCGATGCGCCCTCAGGTGCGTGCAGGTGACTACCAGGGAGGGGTGGAGGGGCTTTCTTTCCTGCGTCCTGCGGGATCCAGCGGATGCTGGGGGACAACAGCGCCCGCCCCTTCTCAGGTGGCCTGAAATGCCACCCCCCAAATACAGGATTTTGCCTTAAGAATCACTGGCACCTGCGCCTTCATCTGCGCCGGCGTTCCCGCGTACCCCTCGCGCGGGCCTTCTCCCCTGCGGTGCAGCCGGGGCTGGGACTCGGGGACGCGGAAAAGCCAGGTGTAGTTCTCCCAAACACGAGGGCGGACAGGTCGGGGAGACCCGGCCCAGCCAGGCCTGCCTGCCTCTGCCCGCGGCGCCTGGGAGCTCACAGGGAGGCGGAAAGGTGCGACTGGCCTCCGTCCACCGTGCACCGTCCTCGGCGCGTCAGGCGGGAGCTGACGGGGTCCTGCCTGCCCGCAGGGCACGCGGCCCCGAGCCGCATCGTGTGGGAGCACACGCGCGGCCGCTACTCGTGCATGCAGTGCGCCTTCTCCACGGCCTCGCGGCCCGCCATGACGCTGCACCTGGAGGACCACCGCCCCGGCGGCCCCGCCGCCCCGCCGCCGCGCCCCGACACCCCGGCGGGTAAGGCCGAGGAGCCCGCGGGTGGACGGGGCGGGGGTCCAGAGGCGAGACTCAGGCGCCCCCCTCTTCTGCCCCACTCAGAACCGGCCCCGCTCGCACCCAAGGTGTCGCCGCTGCTGTAAAGGGGGAGCTTCCAGCTTTCTCGCCACTCTGAACTCCGCTGCGTTGGAGTGGGCCGTGGGGCGTGGGTAGCTTGTAACTCGGGGGAGGGCGGGGACAATAAAGGAGGCGCCATGAGCCGGCCTGCGCTGTGTCTGGGTCCCTTGCCCCTCCGATGCAGGGTGGGCCAGCACCTAGCCGACCTGGGGCGCCCACACCTCTGGAGGTCAATCCACAGGCGCGGGACCCGCCCCCCCACGGCCCACCTGTGTCCATCCCCCCTGTCACCTCAACACGGGGACCCAGGTCTCCAGCTTTATGCCACCCCATCTAGCTGTAGGTGGAGCAGCCAGTGCCCACTGTCCCTCTACCCCCACTTCTAGAAACCAGATGGCATAGAATGTTCCAGTTTTACTATTAGGTTATTAAGTATGAAATGTCCGATTTCCTTGAGTACTAAGTCTGACAGTTGCCATCTCTGCCATGTCGCTTTGACACTTCTTCACAATGTTTATTGCGAAGGTACCTGCTCATTCTTTCAAACGCACATTTTGGCTTGTGATTATGTTTCAAATTTTTTTTTAGAGCCATTTTTTTATGAAACCATGGACAAGTCAAAAATCCGTGCTATTTTGGAAAATGAGTTCCACCGTGGAACCAGGCAGCGCACACAGCTCAAAATAGCGAGGGAGTGTCGGGGAAGGTGTGGCCAATGAACACACGGTTCGTCGATGGTTTGAGAAGTTCCATCCTGGCGATTTTAATCTTGAAAACGAGCCACGTGGGCGACCTGACACCAAGGTGGATAATGAGCTGGAAGCCGTAGGGGAAGCGAATCCATCTCAGTCCCCGCAAGAATTAGCAGCAAGGTTTGACGCTACTGTTCCAACAATACTGGAGCATTCGAAAGAAACAGACAAAGAAGCTGGATAGATGGGTGGAGCATGAATTAAGCGAGCATCGGAAGAGAGCTCATACCGAAGCTTGCCTTTCTCTGCTGTCGAGACATAAAGGTGAACCATTCCTACACCATGTTGTTATGTGTGGTGAAAAATGGATTCTCTTTGACAGTCGCAAGTGCTTGGCACAACGGTCAGACAAAGATGAAATGCTGAAAACACAGTCTAAAACCAAATATTTATATATATAAAAAAAAAAAAGCTAATGCTGCCTGTTTGGTGGTCCGGCACTGGTATTAATCCACTACAGCTTCATGAAACCTGGTCAGTCAATGACAGCAGGTGTCTACTCCAACCAGTTGGATGAAATGATGAGGATGCTTGCGATTAAGCAGCCGAGATTGGTCACTAGAGACCGGCCAGTCCTCTTGCAAGACAACGCTCGACCACATGTCACCCAAACTACAGAGGCTACTCTTGGAAGCTCTCTGGCATCCACTGTATTCACCAGACCTTGCACCAACTGACGACCACTTCTTCCAGGCTTTGGACCACTTCCTGCAAGGAAAAATACTCCATTCTCAACAGGCTGTGGAAAACACCTTTTTTGATTTCCTCGCCATCAGCTCTCCAGGTTTCTTCGCTGCTGGCATAAACGAGCAACCGTTAAGATGGCAAAACTGCGTCGATAGTTCAGGCGCATACTTTAATTGTACTGCTTTTCGTTTGAGATGTAATAAACTACACTTGAGTAGAAATCGGACATTTCATATTTAATGGCCTAAAAACTCTTTTTGAGGCAGGGTCTAACTGTTCTGCAGGCTAGAGTGCCACGGTGCAGTGATAGCTCACTGCAACCTCCAGCTCCTGGGCTCAAGCAGTCCTCCCCCCTCAGCCTCCAAGGTGGCTGGGACTACAAGCCTGAGGTACCATGCCAGGCTAATTTTTGTTTTTGGTAGAGACGGGGTCTGGATATGTTGCCCAGGCTAGTCTCAAACTCCTGGCCTTAAGCGATCCTCCCGCCTCAGCCTCCCAAAGCGCTGGGATTTCGGGCATGAGCCACCGTGCCCGGCCGTTTTTGTTGTATTTAAAAAGTACCAGGAGTTGGGAGGATGGCTGAGAGGTTGGTCCTGGGATCCTGCAGGGTGGGGCTGGCCTGGCTGCAGCCCCCCAGGCCCTGAGGCCAGTGCTGAGTGGGGAGGGATGGAGCACCCTTTTGATGGGCAGGGAAGTCTGTCTTGTCAGCAGGATGGGGGTGCAGGCCTCGTCTTCATCTCCCTTGCTGTCCTGCAGACCTGTGTCCTCCACTGCCCCAGCCCTGGGGAGGTGGCTGGGTCCTGGGCCATCATGGAAAGCCAGACTGGGGTCACAGTTCAAAATCCAGGGCCACACTGCTGTCTCAGCCCAGAGCCCAGCCTCCCGGGTGACTTCCCCTCGGAGGCTGGTCTTGCCTCCTCCATGTGGTCCCTTCTGTCTAGGTCCTGCCAGCCCCGTGGCCCCCTAGACCAGGGCTCCACTCTCCCCCTCCTACCCATCCCCCCAGCCTGAACATCACTGGAAACAGGCTCTCTTCTTGCTGCCCCCTCCCCTGCCCAGTGCCCTTCAGTGGTTCCCCACCATGAAGACCTTGTTCTCCCAGGAGCCCACAAGTCCCCATCTCGAATCTCCCCACCCCCTCCCAGGCCCACACTCATTATCTCCCTCCTCATCCTCCTGGGGAACACGGACATCCTGTGAGCCAGCACCCCTGGACCTCCTTGGCCCCACCCCCACCTTCCGAATCTACTTGGGAGTTGTCAGTCACCTCTTCATTGTAACTGCAGCCAAGACCCCAGGCATCCCTTGGGCAGGGTCCCCAGACCCCACCCCTCCATCACTGCTCCTCCCACCCTCCCCCTCATCACCCTTGGGGTCCTGGCCCCCAGCATGTCCACTTAAGGCTCTAGATCAAAGCTGTCCAGGCGGACAAACGGGGCGTCAGCTCCCCACCTGCTCCCAGCAGCGCCACCTCGAGGTTGGACAGTTCTGGGTTCTGCGTGCCCTGCAGCTTCTCAAGGGGCAGGAGGGGCACCCCAGTGTTCTGAGGACCCACCTGCCTGCCCTGCTGCCCCAGCCCCACATCCTGGGCTGCCACGTGCTCCATGGAGCCACAGCTCACGTGGCTCGGGCTGGGTGTCCACTCGGCCAGTACCCTAAGGCCCCCGAGGAGATGGCTGTCACTCAGCACCAGCTGTAGGGTGGGACAGGTCATCATCAGGGGACCCAGGAGCTCCAAGAATCTAGGTGGGGCAGGGCCAAGGGGCCCATTTCACAGATGGAGAAGCTGAGGCTAGAATAGCCTGACTGAGCCCGGCTGTTAGCCAGGCCTAGCTCCACGTCAGGGGTGACTCTGGTCGTGCACCATCTCGGGAGTTGGGCAGTTACCACCAATGAGAAAACCCTGGCGGCAGGCCCGTCGGACTCTCACCTGTTGCCACACACCCAGGGCCCCTAGACGCCCTTTGAGGTCTGGCTCTAGTCCCAGCCTCTCCCTCATCTCCAGGGACAGGGCTGTGTTTCCTGTCCCCTGGGACTCCCAGCCAGGCTGCAGGGGACCAGGGACCCCAGGAGTCCTCCTCCCCTTCAAGTTCCCGGCTGTGCTACTCCCTGGTCTGCCAGCACCTTTCCAAAGAGACCCGGAGCCAACGCCCTGGGAAGCCTTCCTGCGGCCCTGCAGAGGGCAGCCCTGCCCCCAGCTCTGGGATGACCAACAGCTGGGTCCTCTTAGGGCCGGGGCCGTGGCCAGCAGGAGGCTCCAGGAGTGTCACCCTGCGGGGATTGAAGGAGCGGGGCGAGCACAGTCCCGATCCAGCCGCGCGCCCAGCGGGGGCGGTCGGCCAGAGCCGGGCAAGGTGTCCCGCTCCGGCTGTGTCACCTGCGGCTGCGGGTTCGGAGTTCGGCTCCTGCTGGGAGCCGCCACGCAGGCGCCAAGTGTACAAAGGGAATTGGGGGACACACGCCCCCTGGCGGCGGCGCCCGAGCCTGCGCGGGAGCCCGGTGCACGAGCGAGCGCTGGGTTGGACCCTCCAACCTGCGCCTTCCGGCCTGGGGGTGTCCACACCGAATGGCCCGCCCAGGAGCCTGGGGAGTCATCAGCTGTCATTCAGTCCTTGAGTTTACCTTGACTGAGCGCCTACTGTATGCTCTTGGCTAGTAATCCCCTGTTCTTTCATTCTTGCCCTCACTGACCATGGTCTGGGGGACCCAGAGAGGACCCGGATCTCATGTTCCCTGTCCTCAGGACCCCTGTTTGGAGGGGGACCCACATGTGGAAACTGTGATGCAGGACGGGGCAGAGCAGGTGCAAGAAAAGGCTCCTGCTGGGAAAGCCGGGCCCTCCCTCAGTCTCAGCGATGCTTCTCATTCAAATGAGCTCAAGAAAGCACATCCTTTATTCCCCAAGAGCCACCTCCACCCTGGCGACTCCAGGTGGGCAGCATCTGGCATTACCTGGGACTTGACACACCTGAGTCAGAACCTGCACTGTAACAGCCGCTCACGGTGACTCCGGGAACTCGGGGTGCTTGTCAACTTAGCTGTGCGCTAGAATCACCCACTAGGATCTAAAAAAACCCCCTTGCTCAAGCCACGCCCCAGACTCAGCAAGTCAGAATCTCTGGGAGGTTCTGTCTCTTTATAAACTGCTCAGGAGACCCCAGCCTGTGGCCAAGCCGAGCATGGGGTCTACACTGTCCTAGTGGGTGTCTTCCCCTTCGTCTGCTGCCTCTGACGTGGTTACAGGTTCACTGCCTGCCACGCAAGAGGAAGACGCACACTGAGACGGCAGGGGTTACAGCAGAGAAAGCTTGGTATCTCAGCCGAGGCCAGGCCCAGGGGCTCAGGCCTGTAATCCTAGCACTTTGAGAGGTCGAGGTGGGAGGATCACTAGAAGCCAGGAGTTCGAGACCAGCCGGAACAAGAGCAAGACCCTAGACGCTGTCTCTACAAAAAATAGAAAAATTAGCCGGGCGTGGTGGCACGTGCCTATAGTCCCAGCTACTCAAGAGGCCGAGGCAGGAGGATTGCTTGAGCCCAGGAGTTTTGAGATTGCCATGAACTATGATGACACCACTACACTCCAGCCCAAGTGGCGACAGAGTGAGACTCTGTCTCAAAAAATAATCGGCAGGCACCATGCCAGGCAACAGAAGAAGGAAGTTCTCAAATCCTTCTCCCCAAGAATTTGGGAAAAAGGGTTTTTTTGTTTTCCTGTGCTGTTGTTGTTTTGGATTGGCTGCTGCTTGGCCGGGTTCGGGGTGGAACCACAGGGGTGTAGAAATTGCCTTCGTGTGCTGAGTCGGTTCCTGGGTGGGGCCTCGAGACCAGTTGATCTAGTTCCTTGGTGTGGGCCACTGTTCTGATCCCCTGGAACCTATAGATTTCTGGAAGATATAAGATATCTTGAAAACTAGCCTTGGGTTTCACAGGGTGACGTTATCTAAGAAGGTCAATCTTTGTCACCATCTGCTGTGTGATTCCTGAGTCATAAGCAGCTATAGGAAAGCAAGCCAGGGGACAATGGCTGATTATATATATATATATATATTTTTTTTTTTTTTTTTTTGAGACAGAGTCTCACTCTGTCACCCAGGCTAGAATGCTGTGGCATCAGCCTAGCTCACAGCAACCTCAAACTCCTATGCTCAAGCGATCCTTCTGCCCCAGCCTCCCGGAGTAGCTGGGACTACAGGCATGCGCCACCATGCCTAGCTAATTTTTTCTATATATTTTTTAGTTGTCCAGCTAATTTCTTTCTATTTTTTTAGTAGAGACGGGGGGGGGGAGGGTCTCACTCTTGCTCAGGCTGGTTTCGAACTCCTGACCTCAAGCGATCCTCCCGCCTCGGCCTCCCAGAGTGCTAGGATTGATTACAGGGGTGAGCTACCACACCTGGCCTACATATATTTCTCGACTATGCCTATCGCTTTGCAGAGCTCAGAACCCCACCACAGTTCCCACCTCGTGGCCCTTTATTAACTTATTACGAAAGGCGATTTCAAGGTCACCTATCTCCTGGCAACGGAGCCCTGAGCTCAGTCTGGCCGGGCCTCTGCCCCGCACCTGACACCTCCACCGCCTCTCGGCCTGTCTTCTGGTTCCTTCTCTGACCTCTACCTTCACCTTCAGGGAACCTGGCTTCTCCTCAGGCCCCCTCCCTTCCCTGGGGACAAGGCATTTGACACCACATATCCACCCACCCCCCCAATCTGCCATCCCAGCTGAGTCCCCTGCCCTGGGCGCCAGCCTGGTCCCCTCCCCATGGCCCATGAGACATCTGCCCCCGTAACCGGTATGTCCCGCGCAAAGCTGGGAATCGGATGGTGGGGAAGTGCTGAAATGAGGAAGGCAGATGAGGCAACCACGGCAGGCAGACGGGGGCCTCCTTGCCGGTCACACTGGCCCCGTGTCCTGGGTCCCCAGCCTGCCCGGGAGTCGCCTGCGACCCAGAGGTGACCATACCCCTTCCCCACTGAGATCTGCCCTCCTGTGGGCTTCCCAACCCAGGCTGGATTCCTGAGGCCACCAGGGCCTGGCACAGAGTCCTCCCAGGTCAGGACACAAACGTGGTGGTGGCAGCAAGGCAGGGACGGCAAAGAGTCAATAAACGAAGGACCATGTTGGGAGCATGCTGTACCCGTGCATGCTTGGGGACGGTGGCAGGCAGGACAGGAACTCAAGGGGGATAGAAGTGACCTGGCAGGACCTAGGGACAGGCTGAGGCCATCCCCGCCTCCCTTCCTTCCTCCTCTGCCTTCCCCTCCCTCTCCCCGGCAGCCCCCACCCCGTGTGCTGGCCCGTGGAGCAGAAGCCACAGTCACTTCCTGAAGGCAGCAGCCCCAGCTCGGGTCCCCATCGCCCAGTGGCCCATCACCTGCCCGCAGCCATGGTGAGTCGGGGGCGAGGCCCGCGCTGGCAGGGACGCAGGGACGCAGGGGGCATTGGAGGGCACGTCCCACAAGTGGGGCGGCAGAGACGGGCTGGGAAACGGGAGGGTCCCCGGCAGGCAAGGCCTCGGAGCTCAGAAGCCGCCGGGGCACAGCTCCAGGACGGCTCGCGCTCCCGGGGCCCAGGCTGGGGACGTGACCGCAAGGGGGACAGGTGGGACTGCCTGGGAGAACCGCTGCCCTCCGCCCAGGTCAGCCCGAACAGCAGCCTGGCGACAGCCAGCAGGGCGAGACAAAGTAGGTCATGCACTGCTGCCCTCTCCCCCCGCTGGCCACCGAGTCGTGACCTGATAACCCTGGCTTGTGTGGCCCTGTGGTCACTGCGAGCACTTCCCTCAACAGCAGCCCCGCTCCACGCTAGGGGCTTTGACAGAGGACCCAGGTGGGAACCTTTCCAAGGCTCCTCACGCCCTGGCCCTTGGATGGGGAGAGCAAGGCACAGACAGGGGACAAAGGCCACAGATGGGCTGGGCGCGGTGGCTCACGCCTGTCATCCTAACACTCTGGGAGGCCGAGGCGGGAGGATCTTTTGAGCTCAGGAGTTCGAGACCAGCCTGAGCAAGAGCGAGACCCCCGTTTCTACTAAAAATAGGAAAGAAATTAGCTGGATAACTAAAAATATGAATAGAAAAAATTAGCCAGGCACGGTGGCGCATGCCTGTAGTCCCAGCTTCTCGGGGAGCTGAGGCAGGAGGATCGCTTGAGCCCAGGAGTTGGAGGCTGCAGTGAGCTAGGCTGACGCCATGGCACTCTAGCCGGGCGACAGAGTGAGATTCTGTCTCAAAAAAAAAAAAAAGGCCACAGGTGTCTACCCCTCCTTGACCCCAGGTGAAACCAGGCTTGGGGGCCTGAGGCAGGGCCACCTCCAGGGGCATTTGTAGGTCAGAGGGAAACCACCTATGTGTGCCCCGGCCTGCGTCTGAGACCGGCGATGTGTGGCCACCCCTGAGGGGACTTGTTTGGTGACAGTGCCCACACTTTGGGACTGCCGGCTGGTCCTCGCAGGCACTGTCGCCTGTGAGCGTCCCCGACCATCAGCCCGCATCTCAGGACAGTGCAAGACAGACCCCGCGCCCACACCTGCCTCCCACTCTGTCTGCAGACATGTCTGCGTGTCTGGGACACTCAAGGCTGAGGACGTGGCTGTTTTGTGCCCCTGTAAATTCCTTATGTCACCAAATATTTACTGAGCACCTGTTACGTGTCAGACACCAGGAGAGCAGCAATGAATGACCCAAGTCTCAGCCTGGTAGGGGCTAAAGGACTTCGGGGACTGGGTTTAGAGAGACAAAAAGAAAAAGAAAAAAAAAAACAAACCCCAGTCAAGGCCGGGAGCAGTGGTGGCTCAGGCCTGTAATCCCAGCACCTTGGGAGGCCGAGGCAGGAGGATCACTGGAGCCCAGGAGTCAGAGGCTGCGGTGAGCTGTGATGGCGCCGCTGCACTCTAGCCTGGGCCACAGAGGGAGACCCTGTCTCTACAAAACAAAACAAAACAAAAGCACCCAGTGAAGACACATTAAAAAACAAAGTGAGTAAAACAGTATGGGGCGTGAGGCAGGTGGGCGGAGGAAAATCACACAGGTTGGGGAGCAGGGACAGTACGGGGAAGGGGGAGTCCAGAACGTGGGGTGGTCTCAGGACGCCTCGCTAGGGACTTATAGGAGGGAGAGGAGCTGTGCAGGGTCCAGGGGAAGGACCAGTGGGCTCGAGGAGGAAGAGGAGAAGGAGGAGGAGGCTGGGTCGGGGAGGCCTTCAGCTTGAAGGGTAGGGACATGAGGAAACCACTGCCAGACTGACAGCTTGGAGGGACACAAAGACACCCAGGGATCAACGGGCTTCTTCCTCCAGCTGCTCTGGGGGAGACTGACCAGAGGTGGGGTGGGGACACACGGTGGACCAGGAAGGAGCCTGTTTCAATCACCCGGGCCAGCGGGGGATGGTGCCTCCAGCCAGCCGGGCTGACGGTAGCGGAGGCGGTGAGAAGTGGGTGGATTCCGGATGTATTTCGAAATCAGCACTGCAGGGACTGGGGACATGGCAGGGATGTGAAAGAACGAGGGGGTTGAGGATGCTCGGACGCACCGCCCACGGGGGGAGGGGACCTCAGGGGCTCGGTCTGGGGAGGGCAGGCTGGGTGCAGGTTAGGGTCCCGCTGGGGGGAGGCTGGGTGCAGGTTAGGGTCCCGCTGGGGGGAGGCTGGGTGCAGGTTAGGGTCCCGCTGGGGGGAGGCTGGGTGCAGATTCCGTCCCGCTGGGGGGAGGCTTCGTGCAGATTCGGTCCTGCTGGGGGGAGGCTGGGTGCAGATTCCGTCCCACTGGGGGGAGGCTTCATGCAGATTTGGTCCTGCTGGGGGGGGCTGGGTGCAGATTTGGTTCTGCTGCGGGGAGACTGAGGCAGGTTAGGCAGCTAGAAGTCAAGAGGGTGTGGTTTCCAGGAGTAGAGAGAACAGGGTGGTAGTGGGTTGTGTCTGAAGGACCCCAGGTCCCTGTCACTCCAATGATGCTTCTGTGTGTTAGAGCCCCTGCCTGACTGCCACCCCCCCACCCCCGTGTCCCCTAGGAGGGCCATCAGGACTTCCGGAGCCTCCAAGCAAAGTTCCAGACCTCTCAGGCCGAGGCCAGCGAACACCCCAGAAAACCCCCGAAGCCTGACTTCAGCAAACTCAGGAAGGTTCCCCAGCCTGAGCTAAGCGAGGAGCCCAAGAGAGCCCCGCAGCCTGAGTTCCGCGCACTGTCCTTGAAGCCCCCGCAGCCTGAGCTCGCTGACCACCCCAGGAAGCCTTCCAAACCTGAGCCCGGCGAAGTCCCCAAGAAGCTCCCACAGTTCGAGGCCACTCAGTTTCCCAAGAAGCCCCCGCAGCCTGAGTTTACAGACTTCCCCAGGAAGCCCCCGCAGCCTGAGTTCAGTGAACTCTCCAAGAAGTTCCCAAAGCTCGAGGCCACTCAGTTTCCCAGGAAGCCCCCGCAGCCCGAGGCGGATGAGGGCCCTGGGAAGGCCTTGCTGCCGGAGCCCGGCACACACGTCCCCAAGCCCCTGCAGCCCGAGCTCAGCAAACCCGCCAGGCCCCCCTCTGAACCCAAATTCAGCGCATTCCCCAGGAAGTTCGCACAGCCCGAGTCCAGTGAGAGCCCCCTGAAGCCCTCGCAGCCCGAGTTCGGTGCCTTTCCCAAGAAGCCCCCGCAGCCCCAGGTCGCAGGCCTGCCCAGGAAGTCCCTGCCGCAGCCCGAGTTCGGGGAGGTCCCTCAGACGCCCCCCTGGAAGCCGGAGCCCAGCGAGCCCCACCCCCACTCCCCGAAGCCCGACCTCAGCGCGGTTCCCAAGAAGCCCCCACAGCCCGAGTTCAGCGTGTACCCTAAAAAACCCCCGCAGCCCCAGGTCGCAGGCCTGCCCAGGAAGTCCGGGCCGCAGCCCGAGTTCGGCGAGGTCCCTCAGACGCCCCCCTCGGGGCCTGAGCCCAGCGAGCCCCACCCCCACTCCCCGAGGCGGGACCCCAGTGCGCTTCTCAAAAAGCCCCCGCAGCCTCTTCCGGGTGACCGCCCCCAGAAGGCCCTGCCGCCCGCGTTTGGAGACCTGACCAGGACGTCCTCGGAGCCTGAAGTCAGTGTCCTTCCTAAGAGGCCCCGGCAGCCCGAGCCCAAGGCGCCTTCCAGGAAGCCCCCGCAGCAGCCCGAGCTGGGCGGTCTCCCCAGGACGTCCTCGGAGCCCGAGTTCAACTCTTTCCCCAGGAAGTTTCTGCAGCCCGAGCGCCCAGGGCCACCCCGCAAGCTGTCACAGCCTGAGCCCAGTGCTCTGCCCAAGAGGCACCTGCAGACGGAGCTCTTCGGTGACCTCCCTAGAAAGCCCCTGCTCCCCAGCTCGGTTTCCGAGAGCTCGCTGCCCGCTGCCGTCGCGGGCTCCAGCCACCGGCTTCTGTTCAGCCCTGGGTTCGGGGGCCCCGGGACACCCCGCTGGAGGTCAGGAGGCCACAAACCCGGCCAGCCACCCCGGAGGAGGCCTCTGCCCTCTGTCAGCAGCCTGGGACCCCCTCCGGCCAAGCCTCCGCTGCCCCCAGGCCCCTTAGACATCCAGCGCGTGTGGAGACCGCGCAGGGCAGCCGCAGGTGGGTGAGGGCGCAGGGGTGGGTGGGCGGGGCGCGGGCGGAGCGGTCTCCCTCCTGCACCCTCTCCCCGCAGATCTGCGCAGGACCCGCTCCTCTGCCTCCTCTGCGGGGATCCGCTTCCAGGCCCGACAGCAGTGAGTGTGGGGAGTAAACGGGACGGGTACCCGACAGGTGCGAGCCTCGGGGCCAGGTGAGGCCTCATCTCAGGTGTCCCCTGCAGGGACCCGGATGAGATCTATGAGATGTACGACGACGTGGAGCCCACGGACGACGCTGGTCCCAGCCCCAAGGGCAGAGGTTTGTAGCTGGCCTGTCCGGGCACCGGACATTGGGGGCAGACAGGCATGGGCTGCGGGCAGGTGTGGCGGCTCGCACTCTGTCCTGGAACCCAGGCAGCCCCGCCTTGAGGACACTGTCTGCTCTGAGGTCCCAAAGGACCCTCTCACCTTTCTTCTAAGTGAGGCGGGGCGAAGGCTGAGTAGGCGTGTGCAGGGTTAATGCCTTGGTGAAAACACAAAGGGTTTTCTGTGCAAGCACTTTGTGTGCATGTCCTGGAATCTCACCTCCCACCAAGGCAATGTCACCCCCATTTTACAGAGGTGTGAGGACCTGGGAAGCCCCAGCTCACACAGCCAGGACACAGAGCTCTGTCGTTAGCAAGCCACTGCTCTCGCCGCCAGCCCGGGGTCCCGCTACAGAAACCCGCCTGCACTCGCTCCTCCTTCCTGGGCCCCTTCTGCTTCTCCTGAGCTCTCCCCAGGAGCTGCTTGCGACACCCCTGTTGGCACACAGCTTCCTGGCAGGGCCGCTCCTGCTTCCGCTCCAGGCCAGGCTCTGTGGCCTGGGTCTGGGGGCCGCTCTTGAGGATGCGGACGGCCAGGAGGGCAACTGTCAAGAGCCTGGGCCAGGCCGAGCCCATGGCTCACCGGTGTAATCCCAGCACTTTGGGAGGCAGAGGCAGGCAGATTGCTTGAGGCCATAAGTTTGAGACCAGCCTTAGCAAGAGCAAAACCCCATCTCTACAAAAAATAGAAAAATCTAGCCAGGTATGGTGGCTCACACCTGTACTCCCAGCTACTGGGGAGGCTGAGGCAGGAGGATCACTGGAACCCAGGATGGTGCTATTGTACTCCAGGCTGGGTGACAGAGCAAGACCCTGTCTCAAAAACGGGGCTGGGGGTGGGGTGGGGGAGCCTGGATGTACAGGCACCCCCCACCCACCAGAGGCTCCTGGATAGTGGGGTCTCCTCTGGAAGGGGGCAGGGCCCAGCCTTTCCCAGGAAGTGAGCAGGCCCTGTGGGGACAGCAGGGCTTGCTGAGTGGCCTGCTCGGGGTGACGCTGCAGGTAAGTGCTCCCGGCTGTGCAGGGTCTACAGGGGACCTGGGCTGCCAAAGCCAGGTTTGCTCCTGGCTGGGAGACCAAGAGAGGCACGAGCATTTGAAGGGACTGTGGATGGCCTAGCTCGGCATCTGTCGTGGTGGACAGGTACGACCCAGGTACCCCTCTAAGTCATTCGGAGAAGGCAATCTGGGGCCTCAGGTTCCAGATCCTTCACCAACCTGGGGTTCCTGGAAGCCAAACCTCTGGCCAGCAGGGCTCACACCTGGAAGCCCGGTGGCTTGCCAGGTAGTGACAGAGACAGCTGGGAGACCCCTTGATCTATATAGTCTCACCATCCGTCACCAGCCCAAGAACCCCACCCTGGAGGCTTTTTTTATTTTTTGAGACAGAGTCTCACTTTGTTGCCCAGGCTAGAGTGCCGTGGCGTCAGCCTAGCTCACAGCAACCTCAAACTCCTGGGCTCCAACTCCTCCTGCCTCAGCCTCCCGAGTAGCTGGGACTACAGGCATACGCCACCATGCCCGGCTGATTTTTCTATATATATTAGTTGGCCAATTAATTTCTTTCTATTTATAGTAGAGACGGGGTCTCGCTCTTGGTCAGGCTGGTTTTGAACTCCTGACCTCAGCAATCGGGCGCGCCTTGGCTCCCAGAGTGCTAGGATGACAGGCGTGAGCCACCACGCCCAGCCCACCTCAGAGGCTTTAAAAAAATTTTTTTTTTTAAATTGACACAAGGTAACTGCACACATTTATGGGGCACTATTTTTTGATGCACATTTGTGTTGAAGTTATCTGTCACCTCATGCATTTATCGTCTTTTCGTGGTGAGAACATTCAACAGCGATGCTTTGTGATATGCAACATTAACCCTCGCGACCCTGCTGTGCCACAGACCACAACTGACTCCTCATAGTTGTACCTTTGCACCCACTGACCAACCTCTCTCTGTCCTCCTGCCTCTGCCTCATTTTTCACCCAAGTCTCAGTATAGTTCCCAGAACCCACCCTGCTCTGAAAGGCAGACGTGAAATGGGCCTACAAATCAATCCTGCCTCCGCCACTTAGCTGCTGGGTGACCTTGGACTGCTTCCTTGACCTCTCTGAGCCTTTTATATCCCCATGGGCGCAATGGGAATGACAGTGTCACCTACTACAGTGAAAAATGTTGCTGTGAGGGTCACGATGAGTGGTCCAGCAGTTTCCGCCATGCCTAGCATGCATCAGGAATGAAACAGGTGGCAACCTGCTAGAACTGATACACACCCCCCTCTAGAAAGGCCTGGGAACACGAGGGCAGCGTGGGGCTGGGAGGAGGCACAGGCAGGGCTCTCTAGAGATCAGCCACCAGGGCAAAGGCAGAGCCGATGATGACAGTGCCTGCCCTGACTTCTTGTCCTCACTGCCCCCAGGCGAAACGCCACTGACCCAGCAAGCCGCCAGGAGGCCACCACAAGCCCCCGCGCCCAGGTGCCCCGGGGCACAGCGGGGAGGTCAGGGTGGGGCCGAGCTCTGGGAGGACAGTGGAGGGAGGAGCCCTGGGAAGAGGAGGACATCTTCCTCACGGGCACCCCGATTCCTTGGGTTTGGGGGATCAGGAAGGAGAAGGCCTCCCAGCCACCGCAGGTGCCGCCCACGGACCCGAAGTTGCTGAAGCAGATCAGGAAAGCGGAGAAAGCCGAGAGAGAGTTCCGGAAGAAGTTCAAGGTGTGGACGCCAAGCCAAGCAAGAGTCCCAGAAGGGCTGGGACCCGGCCCTTTGAATCCCATCCTCAGAAAGAAGACGGGTGGGTGCCCAGGGGTGACGGCACAAGCAAAAGCCGACGTCTCACCCTCCAGTTCGAAGGGGAGATTGTGGTTCACACGAAGATGATGATCGACCCCAACGCCAAGACGCGGCGCGGGGGCGGCAAGCACCTGGGCATCCGGCGCGGGGAGATCCTGGAGGTGATCGAGTACACCAGCGCGGAGGAGATGCTGTGCCGGGACCCCAAGGGCAAGTGTGAGTGAGCCTGGCGCCCCAGACCCGGGCGGCCGCCCTTGTCCCGGCCCGAGAACCCACCCTCGCCTGCTCTCTCCACAGATGGCTACGTGCCCAGGACGGCCCTGCTGCCCCTGTGAGTGCCCCGGCCGTGGGGGGCTGGGGGCGGGGGGCAATGGGCCAGGGTGCCCCGTGCTGACCCAGCTGTGCTTTCTGCCAGGGAAACGGAGGTGTACGACGACGTCGGCTTCTGGGGTACGTGGGTGCTCTGGGAGGGCAGGAGGGGGCCCGGTGCAGCCTGGGGGCTACCCTGCTTCTGGGGAAGGGGTCGATGGGAGCCACCCTTCCTTGGCAGACCCTCTGGAGAGCCAAGCGCCGCCCCGAGGACCGTGAAGCTGCAGGCCTGGGCACCCAGGACGGCCACCAGCCCAGCACCCACTCACCCAGGAGGCCCGCACCCCGGCTCGGCGGAGTCGCAGGGATGCCCAGGCTCCCGTCTGGCCCCATAAAGCCCCTCTTTAAAGCAAGCCCCGCTTCCTGTCTCTTCTTGCCTCGCGACTGGCACACGCAGTGCAGCAAAGGCACAGGAAGCCACTGGTCAAGTGGCAGTGGGGAGTGGGGGGGGCACCACCCCCATGGTCTCAGCCCTCAGGTATCAAGATGGGGCCATGGGTGATCAAACCCACCTGTCACCAGGAAGGGGGGCGGGGAGGCAGCTGGGCAGGATGTGTGCTCGCACCCTGCGACCCTCCACAGCCAAGCAGGACAGCAGCAGCCAGGGCTCCACAAGGCTGCACACACCTTCTGCCCTGGTGACCTACGAGGGCACTTCATGGTGTCGAGGGAGGACAACCACCAATCCTGACAGGGCCTGGGTATCAAATCCAGCCCGATCCTCTAAATGGGGAACACGGGTGGCTTTCTGGGACAGCTCTAAAGAGCCACACATTCCATTATCAGCACTGGGGAGTTAAAGACCACCCAGAAGGCAGTTTCCACAGAAGAGTTTTTCAAGGTCCTCCCACCCCTGGCGCCCCACCCCCCACAAGCAAGAATGGGGAGAGAACCCCGGTGGTCACTGCTCTGAAGGAAGCCAGGAGCCCCCATGGCTCCAGCTCCCCAAACCTCAGATGGTCGCCCCTAAAACACAAACACATGGGCACGCCCATTTCAGGAACTGGTATTTATTATCAAAGTCATATTTGATGTCAACAAGATGCCACAACTACAAAAAAAATTGCGCACATTGCAATCTCAATGCAAACAGTCAAATGGAACCCCAGTCATTAAAAAAGTAATTCAAATTACCCCAAAAAGCAACTGAATTTTTTAAACATCTTTTATACATCCAGCCAACAAATTAAAATGGTTAACAAGAAAAAATACAAATTCAGAGGTCTGGTATCGATGTTTAAAAAAGGCAACTGCTTAAGCGTTTCTGTCGATCCGCACGTCGATCTCCCGGCCGCTCAGCTTCATGCCGTTCATCATCCGGCAGGCTCGCTCGGCCACCTCTGGAGACTCGAACTTCACCACTCCGCACCCCTTGGACTTCCCGTTCTCCATCTTGATGTCAGCGTACAGCACGTGGCCTGCACAGGGAGGAAGAGGAGACCACACCTGTCAGGCAAACCCACAGCTCAGCCTGTCTGGGCTCCACTCAGCCCAGAGCACCTGTTGGAGAACACGGTGGCAGGAACCAGGGACTACGGGCCCTCAGCCACATTGCCATTCTCCTGCTAACAGGGCAACAGCCTGAGTGCACCACGATAAACCTTCCTGGAGGCTTCAGATGTATGTCTTTACGTTCCAGAAGGTTCAAAAAAGAAGGGGCCATGTAAAGCCAACTTCGTTGGCAAATTTTACAGAGGCTTCATTTTCAATACGCCACCGCTCTGGCTATGAAGCCATCGCCAATCCAAGTGACACCTCTGCGCCGTCTCGACACGAGCCCAGTCACAGTGAGCAAGCAGGTCACACTTGTTTCATTCGAGCACCTGCTAGCGGCAGGGTATATGTCAGCACTGCAGAAGTGGGTCAGGTCTACAGGGTACGCACCCTAGAAACCCAGGGTTCTACAGTGGCAAGGACGAGAACGTGCAAATGGGGAGCTGGAGGCCCACGATCCCAGAAGCACTAGCTCTGCCGAGGAGAGGACCAACACGCTGGGGGCTCTCAGGAAGTTTTGAGAGAGCTGAAGTGGAAATTCACCAGGAAGACTTGCTGGTAACAGCTGGCACGAGAGCTTTCTGGAGACTTGCAGCACTTGTGGCTCAGATTCAGGGACAGGAGGAAGATGGAGGAGGAGGGACCAGCCTTCCAGGGGCTGGAGTTCTCACTCGAGTGTGGGAACTGAGGAGTGGGCCGTGACTCAACAGCTTGCCCAAGAGTAGACCCAGGGAGAAACAGCAATGGTGGAGAAGTCCCAGCCACTGCTGAAACAGGGACAGGGAACCCCGAGGCAGCCGCCACCAAGCCTCCTTAGGCTTAATGTCGATGTAGCTGAAAAGAAGCCTGAGCCTCACTTCTACAAAGTGTTGCTCGTGACCAGGGCCACCGAACTAGCTATGTTATTTGGCTTTGCCACCTAGAAGCCATGCACCCTTAGGAAGGTGCCTTTGCCAGACATCTGTGAAATGGGACGACACCGACTCATTTCAAAAACCCCAAATAGAGGGCCGGGCGCGGTGGCTCACGCCTGTAATCCTAGCTCTCTGGGAGGCCGAGGCGGGCGGATTGCTCAAGGTCAGGAGTTCAAAACCAGCCTGAGCAAGAGCGAGACCCCGTCTCTACTATAAATAGAAAGAAATTAATTGGCCAACTGATATGTATATAAAAAATTAGCCGGGCATGGTGGCGCATGCCTGTAGTCCCAGCTACTTGGGAGGCTGAGTTTGAGGTTGCTGTGAGCCAGGCTGACGCCACGGCACTCACTCTAGCCTGGACAACAAAGCGAGACTCTGTCTCAAAAAAAAAAAAAAAAAAAAAAAAAAACCCAAATAGAAAGAAAAAAAGAAAGCTAAGGCCACAATGGGAACACAGGTGAAAAGCACATGACACATAACAGGACGCTCGACAAGCTGCCTGAATATCTGCATGGGCAGAAAACTGGCAGGGCCCAGCGATCCCCGGAGTCGATGGGGGGCTCTGAAAGCCAGGGACACTGCTCGACTCGGCAGTGTCACCAACAAGCCACAGCACACGGAAGCACCGAGCAAGCCCCTCCCACGCACTTACCGCATTCGTTGAATTTGTCCTTTAGCATCTTCCATGTGAAATCAAATGGGAGCTGGGGGGAAAAAGAAGACTGATGTACAATCCGACCGAATCCCACCACAGACCTCACAGCTGGCTCTGAGGCCACCTCAAGGATTTCTTATTACTCACAGATGCTAGCTGCCCTGCAGACTGAGCAGGGAACAAAACAAGTCTATCTGGGACAAGGCTGTGAGGTGGCACGGCCAGTTCGCTCCTGGGGCTCTACCTGCGACGCTTTGGGCCTGTGCCATGTGGTCCTTAAAATCCCTCAACAGTGGCTAATGGTGGCTGAGTTGGGACAGATAATTCTTAATTCAATTATAGCCGGCTCTTTCTCTGAATCATCCTGCCAAGACTTAGTGGCTCTTCAAGCCACAGGATCACAAACTAGAGCCTTTCAGCTCACAGTGTTCTGCAGTCCAACAAGCTGGAAAAGCCCAGGCTCTCTCAGAACCCAATGTTCTTGCCAAACAAGTACCAAAAGTTCTCACACTCCTTCCTCGTCCCACCAGCACCAACCTTTGGGGACAAGGTGTGCTATCCGTGTTACCTGGTTCCCCATCAAGGACATCACCAATGACCTAGACCTGCCATCATTCAGTCCACCAACCCCTGCCTCCCTCCTCCCTTGGTGCACAGCAACGCCGAGACACTCACATTTCTCACAAATATCTGGCAAGCCTTCCTGGCCACCCCAGGAGCATGGCCTCCAGCTCCACCAAAGGAACCTGCGAAGCTTCCTCCAAAGTTGCCACGCTCCATCTCGATGGCGCGGTCAAAGCTGGCACCGCCACCGCCACCCATGGCCAGGCCCATGCGCTCAATGCCAGCACCCAAGGCAGGGCCCATGGCAGGGCCCATGCGCTCGAGGCTGTTGGCGCCCATGCGCTCCAGGCCCATGCGCTCCAGACTGTTGGCGCCCATGCGCTCCAGGCCCATGCGCTCCAGGTTGTTGGCGCCCATGCGCTCCAGGCCAGTGGCCATGCGATCCATCACGGGGCCCATGCGCTCCAGGCCAGCCCCCATGCCTGCGGGCACCATGCGCTCCATGCTCAGGCCCATGCGCTCGATGGCAGGGCCCATGCGCTCTACACCAGAGCCCATGCGCTCAATGGTTTGGCCCACACGGTCGATGGGAGCGGCCATGCGCTCCAGGCCGAAGCCCATGCCGGCGCCCATGCGCTCCACGCCAGAGCCAATGCGCTCCATGGTCTGGCCCATGCGCTCGATGCTGGAGGCCATGTGGTCGAGGCCCAGTGGGCCCATGCGCTCGATGCCAGAGCCCATGCGCTCCACAGAGCCCATGCGGTCCATGACCAGGCCCATGCGCTCGATCTCAGAGCCCACGCGATCCATGCCATGGCCCAGGCCAGCGCCCATGCGCTCCATGCCAGCACCGCCAATGCGGTCAATGCCAGGGCCCATCCTCTCAATTCCAGGAACGCTGCCTCCACCTCCACCTGAAACAGGGACACAAAACACAGGTGGGTGTCAGGGACTGGTACACGTGTGTGCACACAATGCCAGGCCTGGGCACTTCAGTTCACAAGCACAGATTAGGAATTACACCCCGAAATAATTTCCCACTAAGACACCCCTCAAACGTTCACAACTGTTAAAAGCTGCGCGGTAAGTACATGGGCTCCTTATCATTCCTCCTTCTCTGCACAGCTGCAACTTTTGTAATAACAGTTACAAAGAGCAAAATCCCACCTCCCTTCCGTGTGGCTTCTCAGGTGCTACTATCTGACAAGCTCTGTGAGCCACACGTGTCAATTCCTGAGACCTCTGAAGTTTCCCCTTCATTAGACATTGAGAAAGCTCTTGGGCAAGGCGTGGAAACCCCACACTCAGGAGGGCCACCCAGTGACAGGAGTCATATGGAGATGATGCAAAGTCACTCACAACCTTTACCCTCCCCCATCTGTCCCTCTAAGGTGCTCTGCTGGTGGCCAGTCTGGCTGCATTTCCTTAGCACTGCCAGGGCAGACAAGTGACTAGACCACCACATAATCAAGCAGAGAGAAAGAAACAGAAGCACCAAAGCAGATGCTCTGTACACAAGTGCACACGGCTGGCCACTTCTAGGAAGCTCACTGTCAGGGACACTCCTGCCCAACTTGGCTGCCTTTGGAAGGACGTGGTCAGTGGCGCTGCAGGCTTGGGAGGAGGCCCAGGGTCAGTCGGCAGGAGAGGGCGGGTCTGGCTCCCCCGGCAAGGCCACTGCCCACCACTTCGCACGTGCTGAGCGCAGGCCCTGCTGGGAATG